TGGTAGGTGTAGGGATGTGGGGGGGGGGGTTAGCAACCAGACTTGATATGTAAAGAGATGTCTCGCTCCTTGCTTGTCGTGGTAGTTGTAGTAGTTGTGGTAACGATTGTGGTTGTTGTATTGGTGGTGGTGGTAGTTTAGTGTGATGGTGGAGAATAATAATAACAATAAATATTATAACACAGACGAAGGCTCAGGTGTGCAGAGCAGTATAGTCTATCTCTGGGGTGATTAATTATAGGGCAGGTGACAGGTAGCGTAAAGCCCCACGGTAATGGACTCAGGCGGGAGGGAACAATTAAGGAAGGACTCTGTGTGAGGCTGGGCAGGTGGACAAAACAGTTGTACACCTTATTTACACCATACCTGAACTCATTAATTAGACCGACCATACCTGAACCTTACCTGGCCAATAATATATGTTTATTTGTTCAATTCGTGTTTATTTGTTCATTAAAACTATCGAAAATCTTATTTGTTCAGTTTTTATCTTTATTCGTTGTAAGTAACTGTGGGTGGCAGTGAGGGGCGGTAGAGAGGGTGTGAATGAAACAGTTCGCATGGTGTGTTGACGTGTTGCACATAATGACTACCAGCTGGACGATGGTACTGTGTGTGTCACGAAAGATATATATATATATATATATATATATATATATATAAGGGAAGTAATGATATTATGTGATAGAGGCAGTGGTGGTGGGATAGTGATGGTGGTGATGGTAGGAGGACAGACTGGCCCCCAGAGCCGTGTAGAGCTTCCCAGTTCCTCCCTCACACAACACTTCCGGGGAAGAATTTTCTAATCTTTAGCCGGGAATTCTGTGTTGGAAAATAATGTCCTTTTTGCAACCTGGCCTGAACTCACCTGACCTAGCTGAAGTTCCGCTAGGTTGGGTTATGGTCGGGAAAATAAGGATAGGTCAGGGTTAGGATAGCTCAGGGATGGATAGCTCAGGGATGGATTAAATCAGGTGAGGTGAGGTGAGGTTTGATTTAGGCGTAGTTCATATCTGTATATGGTTGTTCAAGTGACCACGTCTCGGTGTCCGTGCTTGAAGGTGGCGCCGTCTGTGGACCGAGTTGAACACTACGACAAGACTATCACAGTCTAGCCAGATATCAAATGGCTTCTGGCAGACCAGTCAGCTGAGTCTGGTCACTGTTAAGCCATGTTGTTATCCTTATAGCAGTAATGTTACATGTATAGAATTTTTGTTACGGGGTTGAAAGGGTGGTTTTAGCCATTGCCAGAGTTATTTCCGTTTTATAAGAATTGGTATCACGGGTGTACAGTACATACGAGTATCCAGACAACTTGGTGTACTGTACGTGTCTGTGGCTGGTGACATGTTTGGTTAAGTGAGGTTTCTGCATCTGGGGTGACGTCACCAGGGCTCTTCAACACTTTGTCACTTCAGGACAAAACCTGCAACAACGTTTCTTAAAGGTTACGTTGAATTTATACGTCTATTTGTTGGTTACGTTTGGTGAAGCTGCGTTGTGACTGCAGTTTTTTCCTACTACAATGCTGGAGAGAGAGAAGAGGTGGGGGGGTTATTAACGTATATGCCTCTGGAGGGTTATGGTGGGTGTTACTCCCCCAGACCCGGGATGGATCAGGGAGGGGGGCAGGTAGACTGGGGGACCACAATTGTGTTACTCACTAACTTGTAAGGCTTGACAGCTCAGATTTCACTGTCTTTGTTCGACACGGGGTTGGCTCTTTGACTGATTGGCTGCCTCGATACATGCCTGCCAGATGGGGTGGTTTACTTGTCTGTCTGTCTGTTTGTCAATTGGTTTATAGAAAGGTTGCCACTGCCTAGTTTTCTGTGAAAGTTTATTATTATTATTATTATTATTATTATTAAATCTTGGATATCGTTATTATTATTTATTAATTATAGTAATGTTCTTTGGTGTTTTTGTATTATTACCTTTATCATTGTTACTAGTGATTTATATTATTATTTTATTATTAAGATGAATGCAGGGCCACAAAGACGCATAAGTTAATGAGTTAAGGTTAGTGTGTCAGCCCGTAAACTTGTATCTTTGTGTGTGTGTGTGTGTGCGTGTCATTTGCGTATGTTTCCGCTATGTGTCATCTCCGTGTGTGTCCGTGCTTCAACTGACTCCTAGGATCGTGTTTTTCCCGTCAGGTGTCAGCTGATTCCGCAACGCTGGCGGGAAGTGACAGGCAGGTCTTGTTGACTAGTGGACCGAGGAGCCTTTGTTTTAACCAACACTCAAATTTTCTTCCTCTTTCACTGATCACAAGAGTCGAGTGACTGGCTGAGGTGTGTGTGTGTGCAGGATAGAACCGGGACAGCAAAGAACCAATTCTCTTGACAATGACTTGCGGGTTGATAAGGGTGCTGGGGAGGGGAGAGGCGGGGGGGTTAGTATGCACTGGGAGGTTAGAAAACGTCTCTGGGTGTTGAGGTTTACAGGTAGTGACAGTGGGGGGATAGCGCTGAGCTTTTGTGTACCTACCCTCCACCGGAAGGGCTTCACTCACCCACTACAGTATACAGACTTACTAGTTCGTGGGTCTACATGGGTGATTATTTTAGACCAGATTCTAACGTAATTACTGAAGTAGCGTCTGGCGTTTATCTTGGCTGTGTCGGACGAACGTTTTCACCATAGGTACTTGTACTTCGAAACGTTTCTCCAAATTGTTTTATTATTTTTTGTAAGATTTTCCTACATCCTTACGTGTCTTATTTCCGGATTGCGCATTGAACACTTAATTGTGAAGGTCATTAGGTTAGGTTAGTTAAGGTTAGGTTAGGTTGGTGATGTTAGTTTACGAGAGAGAAGCTCCGTGACGGCCCGTGTCAGCTCACAGCACAACGCTCAGCTGCATTGTTCACAGATGGACGTCACTCCTGCCTGAACTGAGCTGAACTGAACCTCGCCTGCAATACACCGCATGGCAGTCTTCAGTTTTTATACATTTACTTTACATTTTTATTCATAATTATACAAAAAAATACCAAAAATTACTTAACTTATTGTTTATGTACCTGGATTTCGCTCTAAATTATTTACTGTCTCCGGGCTGCCACTTACACAATGTTGCCACAACTCTTGCAACTTTTTAAGGCCACCGAATGCTTGTGAAAATTTGTAGCGAATCGAAATATTTTTGCTGTTGTAATCAAGGTGAATGAGTTTTTCTCTCGCAAAGATAATGTATTGTAACAACTTTTAACACATAGGCATTTGTACACACCTTAAGTATTTACGTCTCTCGAATTAAAAGGCTGAATTTAATTTATCAACTCTCAGGTAAGCGGAGAGTGTTGGTAATCCTGCCACAAGTTATATTTACATTGTATTCGCTTATTATGTAGTAAACCCAGCCAAGGTTATTGGTGACTCTTACTCTGTGTTCTCTCATTATCCAAAATTCCATTGGAACATAATTAGTTGACGTAGCTGTGGCAGGAATATTTTGTTGTGAGGAAAATAACGGTAAAAAGTAATGGGGGATACACAGTACATGAACACTAAAGACTACCATAAGTTACCGTGAGGGGATGTGTGCTTAACTCAGTAACGTATCGTATATCTGGTGAAGTAGTACGATATACTGTCATTACCTGACCTCAGAAATCAAGTACATTACAGGTACATAGTATTAACCTAACCTAGCCTAAGTAAACACCCTGTACCTTCCAAGAAAAATATTGATGAAATGGGGTGGAATGTTTCACTTCCGGGTTTTATATATTTTTATATTTTTTATATTTTTTTTTGGGGGGTGGAAGCTGTGTGACGTGATCTTTTGTTGAATATCAGTATTAGGTTACATAAGGTAAGAAGTGTTCCAGACATACGGTACTCAGAGGCTGTTGAGACCGCTAGACTAGGGGCCAAGACGTGTGGCAAGAGCAGCCTTTGTCAGCGGTTCTTTGCACGCCTCCTTGGCTTTATCTAAGAGCTGCCTCTCATCACAAGCACACTCGAACAAGGCCTCACATCCCCACCTCAATTATTATTTTTTCCACAATGATGAATAACGAACCTAAACTAAATAATTTTTGTTCTTTAAGTCACTCTTTTCACACCTCATTATTTTAAGTATACAGTATATGTCGACAACAACAACCGATAATGACAAATGATAACAGATAAATAATGAATAACGTCGTAAATAATGTCATACACGGGTAGAGAGATTGAATAGAAATCAGTGATAAGTCAGGATAATGGACTTCAGGAGTTTGCCACAGAGTCTCAAGAGGAATATCGACTAAACTTTCTTGGAAGACGCCAGGCCAGCTTTTGTTATGGATGCTGGGAATAGGTTAGGTTAGGTCTCTCGGTGGCTGCTCGTATTTTAACCTTTGGATACTGTATATATTGTCAACCATAAACTAAGATATACTGACTGATCCAGCTTCTTAGGGGGTTTTAAAAGGTGGTTTTTGTCAGCTTGTTTTCTCTTATGTTTGTTAAGACTTACACTGGTGTTTTTGGGGTGGGGCAGTAGCGGGGTCTATTGTCGTCAAAGATCAGTATTCTCAGAGGTTTGTACAGTGAACACGAGTTTTCTCTTCTTGTAACTTAAAAAGAATGCACCTGGCAAATTGATATCAGCTGAAGAACACACTTATGGAAATTGGAAAGATTATGGATGTTAATTTTTTTTCACCTAATTGATGCTGTGATAATGTACTATTTTTTTTTTAAGGACTAGTCAATGTTTCATAACAGTAGTTATAAACACTTAAAATGGTAAAACATAATGTTGTACAGGTAATGTGAACCATGATTGCCATACTGTATAAGATATGTACTGTTTTGATGTACTGTTTAACATGGCAGTTGTTTACCCAGTCAGTTTTTGGTCATCCTTTAAGTTGTTTGTCATTGATAAACAAAACTGACTGGTTAAACTGTGTGTGTGTGTGTGTAATACAATTTCATGTTTGTATGTGAATCTGATACATATAAGACGATGTTTTTCCTTAACGTGAGGACAGTTATGGCACACCAGGAGTAGAGTTGTATGGTCAAGATGAGAACAGTGAATCAGCCATCACTCACCTCATCTTTCTACAAGGACAGGTTTGTTACTCCTCTGTTATGTCTTTTTTCTAATAGGATAGTTTGCATTTTAGTGATTAAGAAGAAAAACAAAAGACATTGGAATGTAAAGTTACCCCCCCAAAAAATTATTTTTTTTGAATTGGTACATAGTGTTTTATTCTTTCTGCCATAGTGGGTTTTGGTTCTCTGTTTGGATATTTTGTGAAGAAATTGCACAGAAGCATCAACTTTCCTATACAAGTGTAGTGACAGATTACAGTAGAGTATTATTAGCACGATCAGATAATGTATTCTGTATTTTATTTACGTATAAAACATTTCTACCATACAGTTCCTCCATTGAAGTCTCTAAATAAGGTATGAGTTTGAAGATACCTACAGTCTTACCTTAGTTAAATCCAGGTATAATAATTTACTACAGGTTTTTATATCCGTAGTTAATACACTTAGTAATCCGTGAACTAACCAGTTATGCCGTGTGATTTATTTGGTGTGTAATAACCTCTCCTTGTGTGGGTGTGCGTGTGTGCCTTGACAGTGTCGTCTAGTGTCTCTATGTGAGGACAACAGCCTACACTTATGGCAGCTAAAGCAGTTAGATGACTCTGGTAGTATGCAGCTAACCCAGGCCAACTCCACGTCACTTGAGGGAAAGTAAGTTTAATCTAATATATTCACAAGAGCTCTATAATGAACTTTATTTTAGCATTTACTGGGATAGGATAACTTATTAGCATGTTTTAACCCCTCTCTCTCTCACACACACACACACAGAGTTAAGCAGAGTGTAGGGAGGAAATGGTAGAGGAAAGGGGATTAAGACAGGTGTAGGAGGTAGCAGGAAGGTGGGTAAACCTATCAAGTAGAAATACCTAAACCTACCTCAGCCTCTGAGATTTCACGTTGAGGAATTTGCAATTATGTGTTGTTAATTAAATAGGTGTAGCTTTCCACCATTGTTAGTTTAGTAGATTGGTAGATAACTTGGTACTGTACACTACGTCTGTTTATTAAAGTCATAATGTTGTTTCATATCTTTGAGGTTCTTAATTGATCACATCCACTCAGACTTGTACTGTACTTTTCTCCATTATTATCACCACAGATTACTCTAGCGCTGTGTACTATATTGTATTGTGTTTTCCAGCAACATTTGAGAGTGAGACATAAGTACAAAGTAATTAACACGCTCTCTATATTAAGCTTTATTTTCATTACTTACAGTATACCTTTCTGTCAATTATTGAGTGTTTCTGTCTCCTTTCCCCCAGGCTGAAAAAAATAAGTGTAGTCGTAGCGGACAGCAAGTGTGAGCACCTAATGGTGGGAACTGAAGGGGGCAACATCTACCTTCTCAACCTGTCAACGTTTGCCATGTCAGACAACATCATCTACCAGGATGTTGTCATGCAGAAGTAAGTTAGCTCATGTGTTTTATAAGTTTATCTGACATCATTAAGTACTGTACAATGAAGATGCTATATCTGTACTGTACTTATGTAAGTTATATGTTTAATAGCTTTTAGGTATCTGATAGTATCAACATCTGTCAGGCTGAAAGAAATTATGATATTTTATACATTTAATATGTTTAATGTTTCCTTCCAAAATGTTGTCAAGCAAAAATAGAAGTAATATTCATGAAATTGTTTTGTGTCTAACACCATCTTGTACCAAGATGATGTCTCTCAGGAGTACTGTACTGTACTGTTTATGTTACTGTGCTAAACCTTACAGCTGTTCATTTCTTATACAGTATAATGAAAGTAATGAAGTAAAATATCTTTATTAAAATACAGTATTTTAGTAACAACTGTACTGTGTAAGACTTATATTGTCACATAAGTTTATTAAGGAAGCTGGATGGTTTGGGGAGGCTTCCCTATGATTAATGTCAGTTTAGAGGAAGTAGAATTTATTTAAGTAAATTGTCTACACCACTTGAGCAATGGTATATTTTTCAGTGTTCCTGAGGACTACAAAGTGAATCCTGGTCCAGTTGAAGCCATTGCTGAACATCCAACAGAGCCGAACAAAATTTTGATAGGTTATCAGCGTGGCCTGATAGTTCTCTGGGACAAAAAGAATCTTTGTGCTGACCAGGTGTGTATGAAATGCCTTTTACTACTGTGTGGCAAAATGTCTCATGTAGAAACACCTTTCACCATCCTTCATTGTTGGATGGGTCAATTTGTACAGAACTTACAGATAACGAGAGTAAACCTCCAGAATACAAGTGCTATAGTGTGAAGAGTAATGGGAGAAGAACTAAGAACAAGAAACTGTATTTAATGAATACTTTACATCATATAATCTTTTCCAGACATATGTGTGTAGTCAGCAGCTTGAGTCTGTGTGCTGGCATTCAGATGCATCACACTTCACAACCTCACACAATGATGGCAGCTACATGGTGTGGTCGGCAACAGAGTCAGCGCAGCCTACTGATGGACCCCACACTGTATATGGGCCTTTTCCCTGCAAACCCATCACCAAAATCCTAAGGCCGACCGGAAAGGAGTAAGTTCATTATTTTCTTGCCAAAAATATTTACGTTGCTATTTTTTTTTTACAAAGTCTCTTATAATAATATGTTTTCCAGTAGAACTTTTAGCGTGTTTTAATATGTGTACATGTGCGTGTGTTAAGGTAAAGATTGATGGCTCTCTCTCTCTAAAGTAAAATCATTGTTCTTCTAGCGAAGACTTCATTGTGTTCAGTGGTGGCATGCCGAGGGCCAGCTACGGTGACCGCAACACTGTAACGGTAATACTCGGAGATTATCACGTGACTTTCAACCTCACCTCTAAAGTTATTGACTTTGTACTAGTGAAGGATAGTGAAACTGGTAAGTTAAATTTGGCTCTGCATCACTGTAGCAATATTGTCAACATTAGTTTTTATTATAGTGGTTATAATGTGGATTTATTTTTGTATGTTCTGTATTTGGTTTACTATTACGGTATATATATATTCATGTATTACTGGTCAAATGGTTCCCAGACCTATTAGCCATAATCCTAATTGAAAACAACCTAACCCTAATTATTAGCACTGAGGATGTCTTCAGTGTGGGTACCTTCAGAGTTGTGGTTGTGTAGACTGGGCCTCAGACCTGGTGGTAAGGTTGGGAGGGACTGGGACTCGTTACACCAGTCACTAAATGTGTCCAAAATATGTTTTGTACCTTGCTATCAGGACATGCAAGCTGCCTGGCCATTCTAGCAGAGGAAGAAGCTGTGTTTATAGATCTGGAAACAGAAGAATGGCCAGCCTTTGCTGCTCCCTACCTGGCATCTTTACACTCATCTGCAATCACATGTTCTGTATTGGCATCTTCAGTGGCAGAAGATGTGTTTGACAAAATTAAGGTACAGTAATGGGTGTTTTCTGTCCAGTCATTGGTATTTACTTAAAGTATAATTCATGTTTACTGATATCTTGATTACAAGTTTCAGCATTTAATTTTTTTTTTTTTTTTTATAAGAGAAAAACCTCAGCTTATAGAGCACAGGCAAGCTTTTACTGTCTCTTAAATTTGTCTCTGTGCAGGAGGCTGGGTCCAAACAACAGACAGGGCTGTCCACCCGGCCTTGGCCCATCAATGGAGGCAAAATAAAGAACACTGATGAACCTAAGCAAAGAGATGTCTTACTGACGGGTCATGAAGATGGTGAGTTGGTCTCACAGTTTACAGTGACATGTCTGCTTTTTTGTTGTGTTTGTGTAATATATTAAGGTAAGATTTTGTCTGATTTGCATTTAACCAAAAAAATTTATTAAATAATTGACATGTCATCATTTGTTGTCTTTAAAATAGGTCTCTTTTTATGTATTAAATAAAACAACAGAAGTATATTATGATATGATAACAAGCAAACTGTACCATTTATTTGGAAGGTGATAAAACTTTTGGTCAGGAGTAGTGATTTGGGAGCTAAAATGGTCACTATTGTAGTCCAAATATGTCGTCCAAGGATAAAATCTCACCAGTCAAGCATATGATGTTAATATGCTAAGCTGATTTCTATTGATAGAATATTGGCTGTTCATCAGATTATTTTTTGGATATGAATACTTTGTCACAGTATTTGAATATGAATGGAAGTATTGTACTACAGAACTTAGATTTTTTATTGGAATGTTCTGGATTGCATTTGAATAAGACTAAAGAATAAAAAATACCCCATCCCTGATTGAATGCACATGTATTAAAACTAATAACATTATTATGATATATTTGCTACTGAATCAAGTGTTTGTTTGTATAGTGTAATGCAAGATCTAACAAAATGTCTTTCTGTCACTACTCGAGTAATATTTCTAACATGCACAATCTTCATGGATATTTTGACCATAAGAAAACTTATCTCTTTCCAGGTACTGTACAGTTCTGGGATGCCTCTGGAGTTTCTCTGACACTTTTATACAAGATACAAACATCACAACTGTTTGTGTCAGAGGATCTTGGAGGTGACGGAGCTTCGGCGGAAGATGATGATTGGCCGCCGTTTAGGAAGGTCAGTTTCTCTTCATCTAGATTGTTAGTGTAGTAAGAGAAAGGGGAAAGTGACTGCTTTATTCTGAGCCTTAATCAGTCATTTCTCCATACTGCAGGGCCTTGGACACCAGCTGAGTTCACATAGGTTTAAGGTCGCTTGTTTAGATTTTCCATAGCTCATCTACTTTCATTTTAATAATAAATGTAAATACATCAAAACAGTTTAGATCATTTATCTATAGTGTACAGTGATGTGTGTCTGTCTGTCTTTGTTTTTACAAGTTCAAGATATTATGATATTTACTTAACCCTTTTAAGATTTTTCCTATTTCTAAATTTAATAATAATTAATGACAGACCAGGCAGATGATTGGGGTCTTGTTATGGAATACATGGTAAGGGGGAATGAATGAATGGCAGGGAGTCGACGGAGAGTCAGTGTTTGGTCTTGAGTCTGGCCTCCGTACAGTACAGTATAGTACAGAAATGAAAAGTCTTGGAAGGGTAAAGATATTTTTCAGTCATGTGAACAGTATTAATGACAAGTTTATTATCCCTATAGGCTGGGCTGTTTGACCCATACAGTGATGATCCAAGACTGGGTGTGAAGAAGATGGAGATCTGTCCTTATACTGGAACACTTATTGTTGCTGGCACAGCTGGACAGGTTCTTGTACTCAACCTGACCATGGAAGAGAAGGAGATAGTACCAGAGGTAACAGCCATCCCTTGTTATCTGTTATGTTACTATTATTAATCCTCCCCAACCTTATGAAAAATCCAGCTCTAGTGCTGATGGTACATTTTACACCATTGTTTTTTGATGATTATTAAACTTCTGTATTGTTAACTAACAAACATAGAAGAACATTCTTATGGTTTCTGAATGTTTATTTTAATAATATTTATTAGATTTAAACAAATTTGAAATAAATTTTTTCTGTTACAGTGTGTGAAAGTGAACGTGGTAGCTGAGAATGATAATTTTGTCTGGAAGAGTCACAACAAGCTTGACATGAAGACGGAAGCTGTTAAATTTGACCCAGGCATGCAGGTAATGTCCCTGACTGTAATGTACAGTATTAGTTAGGTATTTTGATGTTGTTTTATAAATGGTATTATTTCTGTTTATATTTGCTTATGTTAAATAATGACAATAAAATGAATGATTATTGATAATAATAGAGAGATAAAAGTGAACTTCAGGCACCCATTCACAGCTGGGTTGGTTTGGGCAAAAGTCACACTAAGCTGCAGTAAAACAATCTTTAGATATTTGTATGGAAAGAAATATAGAATGTTTTTTGAAATATATAAAAGAATATTATTACAAAACTTGTCTCATGCTGATATTTATTTACCAATATTTATTTATTTTTTGTTACCTTCCTTTGCAGCCAACAGTAGTAGTGCAGTTCTTCCCCCCAGCCTCATGCACCTCACTCAACCTACACAGTGAGTGGGGACTTATAGCATGTGGCACAGCTCACGGATTTGCTCTCTTCGACATAATACAGAAGAAAAACCTGCTTGCTAAAAGTACTTTAAGTCCTCTAGGTAAGTGACTGTTTCTTTCTTCATCTTCACTTTTGACAGATACAGCTTTTGACTTTGGTTTTGTTGCTGTTGTGTGAGTACCTGATCAGGAAGCTTTGTGGTCAGCGGTTTATAGGGACGTAGGATGTGCTGCTGCTTCTTGGTTGTCCGTCTTCTTCATATCTAGTGCATCGTTCACCTCATCCTTAGTCTTCCCCTCTATCTCCTATCATCCACCTTTGATTTTAACTCTCACAATGAAGTAAACCTCTTGTATTTTATCACACTTCCTGGATATAGAAACTTAAGAACATTCTCTTCATCCAAAAGTTTGTGGTTCTTTTAGTGTCTGATGCTACATTTCTTTATTTATTCTCACAGACATAGCCAATGCTGCCGACGAAGGCCCCATGTCTCGAAGAAAGTCTTTGAAGAAATCTTTACGCGAGTCATTTAGACGTTTACGCCGTGGCAGATCTCAACGTAAAACTGGAAGGCCAGGTCCCACCTCACCCACGAGTACACACCCACAGAGGTAAGTGAGATGTAGAGTCTTATGAACTGTGTTGTACATGATTGAGGCAAATTTGTTGACCGTTGTACTCTGATAATGTTGAATAAGAAAAACAGACAACTTCTTACAGCATTCAAACTGTACAGTACTTAGTATTAAACCTAACATCTGACCTGTATGTAGTTACTATGAGGATGGACGAGCCTTGTGATGAAAACTATGAACAAAATCATTTATTAGAAATTGGTATCATGGCCGAGTTGCTTACAAGATGCAGTCCAGTACGTGATGTTGATGATTTCCAACAGATTTTATCGGGATATGAATTTATGGCCAGTCACTTAATTATTTAGATTATTGAACAAGGCCTATCAGTGTTTCAAGGTGTATAGTGTAGTGGATCAAACGCTCCATTATTCTAGTGTATCATACAAGGGCAGAAAATTGGCATGATTTTACATTCTTGACAGCACTGCCACCCACACACTTTTCACCTTGTTACATATTTGTGTTTTATTTTCCTCGAGTCTTTTATGTCATTTACGTAACTAAATGAGTACTGTATTTTTTTTTTTTTTTAATAAATATAGCATGTGCTGTAGAGACTTGGATCATAATATTTATTGGGCCTTGACTAGTTAAGTAATTGTAAGATATTTGTGCAGTTTCTTCGTTTTTTTATGGTTTTCATTTCTATCTCATCTCTAAGACATTGTTTGTATCAACGTAGCCATTCAGAACAACAAAATCATTTCTATTATATAACTATTTTACCCATATACTGTGCTCCTCTGCTCCATAATAGTTGTCAACTTGTATGAAATGCCCAAACCACAGTGGCTGGCATAAATGGTGTTGCATTGTACTTTTTGACGAGAGTTTCTTAGTGTAAAGCAAATGTAAACTTACGTAGATGTCTTTTGTGTTTGGCTCTTCATTATTTTGCAGATTTTGGTCACTTTAAAACTCTGCTGTACAGGTCTCAGAAACCTGTCTGAAATGATCACATTTACATTATAGTTCCCTTGTGGTATTGATTCCAGTAATGACAAGCTGTTACCCCTTGGCTTGATTAATGATGCCAGTATCCAGAAATCTATAATAATTTAAGAATAACAGTGAAACATCATCATCATCATTTTATGGCCATGTCCCACACTTGCGTGGGTTAGCCGTAATTATCTGAGGCAGCTATCCGTGCTGCATGGTCTGTTGCAGCCTCTTTTACTCTCATGTCATTTCTTACGACCTTTCTCCAGGTCATTCTTGGCTTGCTCCTGGCTCTCAAACCCTCCAAATTTAGGCTGTTGTACCACTTGGTCTCATATATATTCTCTCTACTTGGCCCAAACCATCTCATTCTGCCTTAATGCAAAACTTCACCAATATTCTCATTATCCAGCTGGCTTCTTAACTCTGAACCGGGCCCCCGTCTTTCAGTGAATTACAACACATCCACCTCACTCTTCTCATTATTTTTCTCCAGAACAAAAGCTTTTTGTTACCGATGCCTTATTGTCTAGAATTTATTTAATTTTATTTTTTATCAATAGTTTTTTATTTTCTTCTTCTTCTTCTTTAATGGAAATACCTTAGATGTGTTTAGTTAACAGGAATGGGCTTTGTGGAATTGTAACATGCACAGGTTTGGCATTTCAACAACTGTTTTGCTTCTAATTCTGATGTGACCGATTGTCTTGACTTTTCTGCATCACGTGGGACAGAGCAGTCAAAGTCTTGTTTTGTCTTGGCAGGTTGTAAGGCAACATCAAATTAATTTAGCAGATTAAGAATAAACACTTATCTCATGTTCTTCAAGCAGCCTTCAAAATACTGTACATGTTTTTTTTCTTCATGACCAAAACATTCATTTCCTACCTCAGTCTTTCTGTACAGGTATTAAACCTGTTCTCTAAGTGGTTAATGTGTGTAATCCTATTATTATGAAATATTAGACTATCCAAAATATTGTTTCATAGGGGAATCAGAAAGTCCTGGGAACAAAATTTTTTTTACACAGTGTAATAAGAAACTCCCAGTCTAGTGTTATCAAAGTCAACTAACGTGTCCTCATTTGTTTTTGTACCCCATTTATCTCCCTGTTCATTATTTTCCTCACATATAATCATTCATTTATCATTACCAAACACTTCCTTGATGGTGTGTGTTTGAATGTGAAAGTTGTACACTGTCCCCAACATCTCTGGTGAAACTCCAGGAAGGTGTCAAGAAGAAAACCGCAGCAGGTAGCAGAGTGATCTGTGTGTGTGTGTGTGTGTGCGTGCATGCATGCAGCCAATAGCCTTATGATTCCCCCTTTTTTTGTTTAGTTTATGGTACAGTAATAGGTTCAGTCATTGTCTTGGGATGGACAGTTTGGCATCAGTCACACTATAAGCTCCTAATTCTAGAGAGAGAGATTCCTCACATCTCAAAGTGTCATCTGCTGTGATGTTGTGACAGTATTTTGATTTGGGGATGATTCACTGTCATTAGATCTGATAGATTCATGGATTAAGTTCTATTCCTGAGCTAGAGCAGTAAAGTATAAGTGAACAAGTTATTAAAGTAGTTAAGTGTAGGTAGTAAGTTAAGGCCATACAATACAGGTGGATAGATAGACAGGTAGGAAGTTAGGCTATCTGGCTCATTAGAAGATGACCCTTTTATAAAATGGACTATCTGTCATAACTTTAACCCCACCCCCCCCACCCCTCTAGGGTGGACCACGATATAATTAGTGACACCAGCGATGAGTCACACGAGGAAGATGACGAACAATCTAGGTAAATGTGAGCACAATAAAATTGCAACGATTGGCTTAATTCGCTTCTTACTGTAACTGGTAGCGGCAGCTGTTGTAGGCATGACGACGGCAGTGCTTCATTAGCACTTTTAAGTTTTGTTCTTTTCCTTTTGTTATATTTCAGTGGCAGCGATGATTGGTAACACAGTGGAATGTCAGTATTTTTGTCTGCTGGTCCTTTATTTATTTTTATATTATGGGCAGAGTATTGGAATTTGGTCAATTAGTAAGTGTATGTGTTCTTGGAGTGTACAGTATATTGGTCTGCCCAACACCATACTTCTTGCTCACACCAGTCATGTGCAATTTTTATCATTATGAGCTTGAATGCATGAAACAAGTGGCTTACCAAAAGTTCATTATTTCTCTATTGATTTGATCTCAGAAAAGGCTGTGCATCCTCTTTTTTTAAATAGCTTTTAAGTTTTAATTCTTATTTTGTAATGTGATGATGTGCATGCTTCCATGTTTCATGCAGCCCTGATGAGGAAGTAAGTGAGGAAGCATTTGATATGAGTGATGAAGGGGAGGGAGACCAGGAGACACAGGCAGAGACAGGGAGACCTGAGAATGGAGACCAGGAGACACAGTCAGAGACAGAGAGAACTGAGAATGGAGACCAGGAGACACAGGCAAAGACAGAGAGAACTGAGAATGGAGAACAGGAGACACAGTCAGATAATGGAGCCCAGGAGACACAGGCAGAGAGAACAGAGAATGGAGCCCAGGAGACACAGGCAGAGACAGAGAGAACTGAGAATGGAGCCCAGGAGACACAGGCAGAGACAGAGAGAACTGAGAATGGCAAACAGCAGATTAAAGATAAATCCCATATTTCTCCATCTTCATCAAGAGAAGTACAAATTGTGGAGACCTTACCACCAGTAGGTGTTTCTCAGGCTGTGGAAGAGGAGATAGTTAGAGCTGATTTATCTGAGGATCCTGAAGGGGAGATAATGGAAGTTGATGAGGAAAGTGAAGCAAAAACTGATGATCCAAGTAGCACTAGTGGGAAAAGGTCAAGTGAGGCAGTGACTCCCATTACTGAGCCAGTACCATTCTTCTATTATGTAACACCAAAAATATTCAGGGAAAGTTCCAGAAAGAAAGACAAAGATAAATCCTGCATAAAAGAGTCAGATCTGGCTGAGCAGCCGGCATCTTCACCCGTGTTAACCCCCAAGGTTGGGGTCAATAGGTTCAGAGATTGGCTACAGCGTCGTGAAGCTGGTGAAGTTACAAAGGTTGAGGGTGTAGAACCAGGGCAGTCTAGGGAAGGATCACTACGTAGGCTCTTATGCCGCTCCAAGTCTGAAGCTGCAGGTCCTTCAGCTCAGGTGACAGAAGGAGAAGTTACTGACAATACAGTAGAGTCTTCAAAGGAATCCACTCTGTCACGACGCCAGCGATTGATGTTGGCCTTCAGGCAGCGTCCCTCAAGTGTAGAGGTACCCGTACCCTCTGAGTGTAGCCAGTCTCCAAACATAAAAGAATCTCAGGCAAAGTCTCGCTCTTTGACTCGTCCTCGCAAGTTATGGATAGGCGGTCGTAGCCAGAGTGAACAGCAGGCCAGTCCTGACCCCTCTGAAGGTTCTCCCGCCAACCCGGCCATGCAAGATCCTGCCATGACTCCGGCGAGAGAGCCAAGGAAACGCCCTTTTCATCTCTTTCTAATAGGCCCTAGGGAACCCAAAGAACATGAGCCTGATGCTCCACAGAAGAGCATTCCTCTAGAGAGTCCAGAAGATGTTTCCACCCAACACTCGCCTAGCTATGACATGGCTATAGGTGGTACTACTGCTGAAAGATCAGAATCATCTGAAGGCAATACTAAACCAGAAGGAAGTAGTGGAAAGTTTAAAAAATTCTTGAGGCAGCAAAGTGAGATAATTCTGCGACCCTTTAGTCGACGCACTGCTGACCAAGACAAGAGGAAGAGTGCACCAGTGCCGACTATTGACTTAACAGCACCACAGGAGTCGGCTGTAGAATTATCTGACTTAGAGGCTCGTCACCCTAGTATTAGCACTTACATAGATGACACTCCTACTGCTCCAGTTCCCCCTCCTTTTGTTCCAGATGTTCCTTCTGAATCTTATCCTCATCCTCCTGATGATAGTAGTCCTGTTCCCCACAAATGTGAAACTATAAACCCAGAACTCCTTCATTCCCCTGAATCTGAAGTAGATTCATTAGGATTAGAATTGCAGAGTTTGCAGTCAACCCCCGATGTAGTACGTAAGGCACCAGGTAGTCGCGGTAGTACCCTTAGTCGTAGGCTAACCTTTTCCCTACCCTTTGGTAGCACGGGAGGAGGAGGAGGAGCAGCAGCAGCAGTGGATGATGAGGGAGTCAAGCCAGTAGAGAGAGCAGTTGAGGCACGTTCACACGCCAGTGACTACATTGGCTCCATGGTTCGCTGCCTCCACCTCACTAAGTGTTTCATCGCTAATAGTAAGTCTTGTGGTCTTGTATCATTGACAAGAAAATATAGTTTTGTTATTGAGTTGTGTAATTATACTGTTCCTTATAGTTCTTGTTCTGCCACTTTATGAGATGCAGATACATCATTGTATTGCCAGGGTTGATATAAACAAGTAATCTATCCTTTGTCATTCAAAACTTATCACAACCTTAGTGTATGTTGCTCTTGTAAAAGTTAATTTTCCTTAGTGAGAAGGACCATAACCTGACCTAAACTGCCAAGGATTAACTCTTGAGTACTGCTACTGAGCTTTAGAGAGACTTGTATGCTGAAGTTTTTCTTATTTACTGAAGTCAATGCTCATATACTGTACTTTTGGGGAATGTGGTTATATTACTAGGTTTGAATAATTTAATGAAGATAAGTTTTTCATATTTACAATGGATATTTTTTAAAGTTCTAATGCATACTTTTAAATTCTTTAGCACAGTTGATGTCAGCCACATTATGGGCCGGCACTAACAGTGGGGCCATCTTTGTGTTCACCATTTCCATCCCACCATCTGAAAAGCGAGGAGAAGTACCTTTGAGTGTGCAGTTAGGTAAAGAGATCCACCTGAAGCACGGAGCTCCGGTTATAAGTGTATGTATCCTCGATGGTGCAAGTAGACCATTCCCTGAACCAATGGCCGTCAAGAAGGAGGCCGCTCCATCACCTAATAGCAGTTTACCACACAGAGTTTTGATTTGCTCAGAAGAACAATTTAAGGTAAGTGTTGACTTTTATCCCACTAGATATACCATAATTTCAGTTTTTCATATTGTTTGTGTGATCTTCATATGATGCATTACTGTCCACCACCACCACACAGGTGTTTTATCCTGCTCAGTCCTCTTCCCTTCACCATCACCTTAACACCCAGCATGGTGGAGACATACATCACCTGCACTGTCTTTTACTTTATTATTTTCTTTCTTTAAAAACATTATTAAAATATCTTCTTTTTTTCAGGTGTTTACTTTACCACAGTTAAAACCATTCTGCAAGTTCAAACTGACGGCTCATGAAGGCTCAAGAGTGCGTAAGATAGGCTATTCAGACTTTTTATCTTCAGTCGATGAAAGTTACCGGGAGCCGTGTTTTGTGGTCATGACCAATATGGGAGATTATTCTGTGTATTCCCTGCCTGATTGCCGAAGACAAATGTATGCAGCGCACATTAAAAAAGAAGATATCAAGTAAGTCTTACTATATTAGACGCTAACTTGGCTTTTATTTGGGTTAGATAAAATGTGAGGCTCGCCTTGTGCTCCACTTTCCTTCATGTTGCAGCTTCTCTTCACAGTGGAATATATGTTATACATTTTTACATATTCCTCACTTGTATACTGTATTTTGATTTTTTATAGTGGCATCAATAGTGTGGTGTTCAGTAACCGCGGTGAATCCCTATACTTGATGTCTCCCTGTGAACTGGAGCGAGTATCTCTCTCGGCACGGCACATAACTCGGCCCACCGGAACAATTCCCGTCATAAAACCTCAGCTCGTTAAAGAACCCGAAGAAGAAACAGAGCCATCAAAAGAAAAGGTTAGATTCAAGGCCAGGAGACTAGAACACACACCTCCTGTTATCTGTGGTGCAGTGTACAATACTTTACTTGAAAATAGGGAATTATACATACAGTTTAGATCCCATGTGGGTTCTGAATCTGAGGTCAATACCACCTAACAAGAGAAGTTTAACTAATCCAATTGTTTTCCATTTCTTCTTTTTGTGTGTATTGATTTGTGGAGATATTCCTGTACTTGTATATATTCCTGTAATTTTACTCTTTCCTGAAAATTTCTGACAGCTCAGAAATATAACTTTTGATCACACACTTATGTAGAGAGATGACTTTGTGTTACTACAGCAGTCACAGACAATTAGCTGCTCTGCAAATCAGTCACTTTAACTGTCCCTAAGGCAGCTAATTTAAATAGGGTTCACCAAGTATATTAATAGTTGTCCGGAAAGAATTTAATCAAGAGAAACTGAATTGTTTGTAATTGACCTTTGTTTTCAGTCAAATGAAAATCAGGCAGAGGGTGATGATGGTGCTGCCAATGCTGTTGCTGCTGCCACTGCTGCCACTGCTGCTGCTCCTGAGACCCAAGAAGAGCCTGTTAACCCCCAGGAAAAGGTGAGGGTGAGATGATTTCACATAATTATTTAAGAATAAAAAACAAGCTATTATGTATCTGACAAAATTGGGTGGATGAGGTACACTCAGCCCACTATACTCTGTTCACCTGAGCTTGACTCAACCAATCATGAGCTCCTTTTATTTGGCCCAGTTGCAAGTTTGGAGTGAACAGAGTATAGTTACTTCAATAAATCCCTTGATCTTCGACTCACTGAGTGAAACTAAGTGAATTTTTACTTCCATGTTACTTGAAGCTTCTCAAGTTTTGTTTTAACTCTAATTTTATCATTGATTTAGAAATCCACTTAATTTTTTTGATCACTTCCCTTCACAATATTCTTCACTCACCATAGTACAATATGCTGTGACTCCACAGACAATCCTACATCCTGGCTGCTCCTAGATAGATTCAGTGAGCTAAATAGTTGCATGAAAAAGATGTTTCATATTATTTATTGTTTCACAGGCTGATAATGGATCTAGCATAGCTGAAAAAGACGAGAAAGTATCGGGCGACGTTGTAGGTGAGAGTAATAGAAAGGTGGAGGAAGTGAAGGAGAACGGGGACAACAGTGTCCTCAGTGGAGACATCACCATCGACTCAATCCGTGACCACATGTAAGTGAGCACCGGTGGCTGGGTGTGTTGCTTGTGTTTATTTTATGCTTATGCTGTGGATGGTTTAATTTATTTATGTTATGTGTCAGGTGATTTATGTTGGTATTATTTGTCCTATATTTGTTAACACATTTTCTCAGAAATGATTTTCTCTTCTCAGCAAAAGGGGATACTTTGACGTGTTCACAGAATTCATTATTAATGTTTTAAGCAATATATATGATAAAATTTACAAGTGAAAGGATCATTAAAGTAATTTTTTTTATAAATTAAATAATCAGAATCCTTAAATCTACCATCTTTTAGTAAATTGAAATAACTATTGAATATTAACAATTATACAAATTCAAAGCTTCTGGCAAACTGATCCCTCTCTTTTTTAATGTTTCTTTATAACTGCATAATGCAAGTGTGAGTAGATCAGGTGGGAGTGCTCAGCTGAAGGGTAATTTTATTTCTGAGGGAGTGGGTTACACAATGTTGTCCAGTATTATTCATCTTCTATTTTTCTCCTTTGGAAAATGAATTAATCTGAGTTGCCTCTTTTATTTTGTTGGCAATGTTGCACTGGCCTTTTGATTTCATGCGCTCACAATTACTGCGGTGATTTTGTTTCTTTGTACATCGTTTTCAAAATATCAGGAATTGCAAGTCAAATGGGCCCCAGTCCTTATAGACTGACCTATTAGGACTAGGCCAGTCTGACTGAATGGGTTTGGTATAGGTCTACCAGGACTGGGGGCATAATAGGCATGGGGCTGAATGTTCTTCTCGCCCATACAGTACTGACTATGGTTGTAAATGCTCAGTCTTTAAACTTTTAACTCGTATCTCTCTGTACATTCAAGTGTCAGTGTCACTGCTTGAAGCACTCGAGAAAATTGATACAGATGTTAGTCTCAATATTTTGATTGTTACAAGTTTCAAACCTCAACAGAAGTTTCTACAAGATCTCTTACATGCTCCCACACTCGATAACTGGTACTTAAATCCCTTGCTTCTAACAGTTGATCAAATATATCAATGCCATGGTAAAAAGCTTAAAAATTTGCATTTGTTGATAAAAACAAGTGCAGCATTACTGGAGTTTCCTAAATCCTATTGTACTGTTACACTGCCCACTCTTCTGTGTACACTGGCAGTCACACACTCAGGCCATCACACAGACATGCTCGCTTGCTCTCTTTTTCATGAACAAATGCTTGCATGCATGCATTATTGAGTTCTTAAGTTATGTACTGTTTTGTCTGTAATCATCTTATATCCAAACCACTCCAGTGATTCTTCACAGCATCAACTGATTCTTCTTCCTTTCTTTCCTTTTTATTGATGTGATTAGTAATTTTCTTCCAATTCAACTCTTTGATGAGACTTTTGGTGTGAGCATTATATACATTATATAATATAGTAGGAATATACAGGAGTAATAATGAATGCAATTTTTGTGCTAAGGTCCATTAGAATCATTATACAATATACAGTATGTGAAGTATTGGATAAATTAGATGGATATTTTAGGACTTTTATTTGGGAAAGGGAACACCAAAGCAGAACACATCTCTCAGAGCACTTGATGGGTGAAGGGAGAGTCTCTGTATGCACCTCACCCTGGCCGGCCTGTGTCATAGTGAGACGGCTTGTAAGAGTGGAGAAAAAATTATGTGAAATTACTGAAATACTGATAAACAGTACAACTTCTATGGTGTTTCATCCTCTGTGTATTCCTCCACACTGACAACTCCTCTCACAAGTGCTCCCTGTAGGAAACATTTGCAGCAGTTGATAGACATGTGACAGTAATAACTTCTCTTTCATTACCCCTCCCACTCCCCTTTATTTCCTCCTCCCCATTCCATCTTCAGGTGCTGCGTGAAGCTCAAGGGAAATTCTCAAGTGTTTATTCCTATTGGTTTTAATGATTCTTGGTTGGTCGCTTCTCTAGGCGATATCTCGGGACACTTTGAGCCAGGAAACTGAACTTTTGACACAATAATGACCCGGGTGTTTATGGCGTGGCATGGGGGTGTACAGTGATGTAACACCACTTATTTGTTTCAGTTAATCTTGAGAATTCCTGACTCAAAATTGAGTTGTTACTGGCTATTCTTTTATCTTGGTTTAGGCATGTAGAGATTAGTTGTTGTACCCGGTGGTTGTTTTTGGTTTATTGTCATCCTTTAATGGTTCAAATATTGTAAGCCACTGAGGTAAACATTCTGAGTAAGGAATGGACAATTGTGCCAGAAGTCGATGTGTTACCCAGGGGATGTTTATCCAACTCTTAGACAGTGTCTTCTTAGTCAGCTGTAAAGGGTAACATTGTGTAAGTTATTGAGGATTTTTTCTCTCTCCTGTCTGGTCTGTTCTAATTCAGTTATGTATTTCCCATCTCTGCATGTAATGCACCTGAAGGTAAACCACATTGTATTTTATCTGTTGAATGCATTGAAAGCTCTTGTAAAATTGTCTTGTTTCTTGGTTCAGCTCGCCATATTGTTATTGTTCGAGCAGAATTTTTTTCAGGCAATTGAGTTTCTGGTTATCTGCACCTAACCTAACTTATACTAATCTAATCTAACCTAAACTAAACTAACCTAGTCTCACCAAACCAAAGTAACCTAACCTAACCTAAATTTACTAAGTAACCTTACCTAACCTTAATGCTTAAACACTTCAAGATACATTCTGGTTGTGTGTGGTGGTTCTCCTTTGCATAATGCCACTGCCTCTTCCTCCAAACATTACACTCACGACTTGGCGCTACATTTTGGATATCAGTTGCTGCTCCAACACAAACATTTGAAACACTGATGAAAGATATGAACATGAAATTTTTAGAGGCTGAAATTAAACAGTCTGTCGGTTGCTTTTATAAGATAACTTGCCACAGTAGTTAAGAGTGAATGGATGAAGGTGAGGGAGAGTGTATGTGTTATGACCATCCTGCAGTGTACAGTAGTGGGAGAAGCGTTGTAAGAATTAAGAAAAAAAGTGGCAAACTCAGATAATTTGATCTTGAAATTGCTTAATAAAAAATAAATTGGAATTGGGAAAATTACTTCCAGTCAAAGTTTTTTGAGCCGTGTTAATGAAGCTTCAGTGTATAAAAGTAAACTTTTCATATAACTGATACAGTACTGTGGACATCTTTATATTTGCTATGTTAGAGCTCATTAGTTCATGGACAATAAACAGATGACAGCAGTCACTGATAAGTAATATTAAACTTCTGTATAAAACTAAAGAAACAACAATATTATTTTCTAAACAACGCTTCACTGTTGCGTAAATTACTGATAATGTATAAAAATTATTTATTTATTTTTTTTACCTTGAAATTTGCAGTTTATGTAAAATAAGATTTGGTATATAGAGTTGCCAGTGAACATTGCCTTCTTGATAGGGTTCTTAGTTTCCTAGTGCTGAAAATCTTTTTATTTGTTGGAACCCACTTTACCTTTTAAATGTTTCAGGTTTGATCCAAATTTTACTGTCAGTAGTACAGTAGTACCTCGCTTTACTAAATGTCTGGTTTTTGTGTTTTTGATTTTGGGTCACCCTTGTGTGTCTGCATGACTTTGTAACTCTGTGCTGGTGTAGGGATGAGCTCAAAGTGTCGGAGAAGTCTGTGGATGTGGCCAGCACCGGGAGCACCACCCTCACCAGTAGTGGCGGCGGTGGGGCTACGGTGAAGCAGGAGAGCAGTAGTGTCACTGTTGTCAAGTCTACCACCATCACCTCTGTATCCTCGTCTTCTCAAGGTACGGACGACATTACTTGAGGGGGTAAACTGTCTGGTCAGTGAGTGGTATTTAGTAGTGAAAGATACATAGTGTTTTGTTTTTTTTTCCCTTGAGGATGTGATTCAGTATGCAGTACTTTTGGTTCTTTTATATTAAAACTTTCCAGCACTGATGGGAAATAAGTACAGTACAGTGTAATATAATAGACTTACAAGTTGATTAAGTCCACAACACTAGGGCTCACAAGGTTGAGAAGAAAGATATGAAGAGTTGAGAAAACATGAATGGTTTATACTGTGTGTGTACATGAGTAACACTGTCAGATAACTTGCATAAGTAGTTATACTTACAAGTTCATAAAGAAGCTGTAATTTATTGTTTGTATTAAAAATAGTAACTTTGCACTTTTCAACCCTGATACAGTAAATATATCATACCTTTATTATTCCAAATAGTAATGATTGTAAAACATTTGCAAACAAATACTGTACTGTATTAATGAAAGGAAATGAAAGGAAAACCTTGAACACAGCAGGCCACACATGGGCTGTTCACTCACACAAACACAAATGTAAAATTATTTACAATTTTGACAGCATTGACCAATTGTCTAAGCTCTGTTTAATTTTGTCTTCCATAGCAGCAATTGCAGTTTATTCAAGTTTGTATGTTGCAGGTGTCTGAGTGAGTCCCACCACCTTATTGGCACATTCAAAGCTCTTTTTTATGTTTTGTATTTAGTATAATGGAAAATTTTAAGATGAAAACATGATTTTCACTTGAAAACTTTGTTATATTAAGCATTAAAACAGGAAAAAAGGCACTGACTCTGCTGATGAAGTGTTCACTCGGCAACTAAGAGTTAGGTAGTGTGAGTTGTATTGGCCTCTGAGGAAGCCATAATTGGGTGGAGCATAATTGATAAGTCATTTGTATCCAAACAACTTTCCTTTTTTACTCAGTGGTTTTCCCTTTTTCAAGACTGTCCTTAGATACATTATGGTGTAGGTACAGTATCTCCACACACGGGACAACACAAAGCCTCTCGGGCCTTTTAGCTAGGGTTGTCTCAGACAGGACACTGTACATGACTTCATTCCTCACTTGAGTTTCTCTTCTCTGAGTGTTCATCACCAAGTCTTGCATGTAGTTCATGAATAAAAATAAAAAAGATCGGATGATTTTTGTGAATGTGGGAGGGTTTAGTAGTGCAGTATGAGGATGTTACAAGGATCAGTTCAAAGAGGAGTCTGGTAAGTTTGGTCGACCACCAGTTATGAAAAACAACATTTTAAGGGATCTCTTGTTTTGTTGTAGAATACAGTATCCACTTGAAACTTTTGTACTTTGTGTCCAATATGTTTGAAGTGTCCAGTTTTCATTAGTAATTTTCTTCCTCTTCCTTTATATAAAGTATGATTTACAGTAAGTGTGTCCCTCTGTTCAGGCTGCCATTAATGAAGGTTTGAAGATGTATATATTTTTATGTTTTATGGATTTTAATGTTTATTGTCAGTCTTTTCACTCAAAGCTTCAATTCTTTTCTTTGATTCTCACTTCACACCAGAAATACATAACTTATTGCTGGAGTAAATTTTTATTTCATATGTAAAGCAGCAGCAAAGCTTATAAATGGAGGTGAAGTAAATAGTTGTGGCATCCAAAATGTCCAAGTGTGTCATGTGTCCAATACTGTACAGTGTTTAGGAACATGTGTCTTAAGATAACCTTTAAGTTATGCTGTTAACTAAGCCTCCAGTCTTCTGTGGTGGCCAAATTTACTGAAACATTATTGAGAAAAATGGGGTACATTTCTTAACTTGTTGCCGGGATTATTTGCATACATAATGCTATCTGTAAACTCTTATAATTTCTTAGGCTATCAGGTTTAGCTCTCCTGGCAGAACAATAAGTAAAGCCTTGTGCAGAAGAAGTTGAGAATATAAATTTTGCTGACCTAGTTTATAATGTTTTTAGCCACTTTTAAGATAGTTGGAGTAAGTAGCTGCTAAAGTTTGGCTAATGTATTCCTGTTAATGTTTCCTTTATATATTATTTATTCTAGTTGATTGTAAAGTGAAGTCTTAAGTGATTAGTTGTTTTGAAGTAAATTTTCAGTTTCTATGAATTGTTGTATTTATAAAGATTTAGTTTGTGTTGGTTAGTTGTTGGGAGTTGTTGGTAGATCATAATATTAAGCCAGACATCATCGCCTTCCCTAGAGTCGTCATCCGTTCAAGTAGTTGAGACGTCCACAACTGAAGTGAACCACAGCACTGTAAATGGAACTGAGGTTTGAATCTTAAGTGATTTGTTTTCGTTCATTTTGAATGTTTTGAATTTGTTTTTATAGGTATGTGTGTGTGTGTGTGTGTATGTGAAGGAGGGGGCATAGGTGTGCATGTATGTGGTGCTTGTGTGTGCTTACAGTGCATGCATGTGTCTCTGTTTGTATAATCATCTTAATTGGTTTATATTTGTTCGTTTGTATGTTTGTGTGCACTTAATTGTGTTTCAGGATTGGGAAATATGGCAAAAAATCTAGATCAAACTTCAGGTACTGAATAGTTATGATTGTAATTGTATCAGATGAGTTTCTTAACTTTTATCATAGAAGAGAGTGAGGTGCAGTAGAGAGTGAGTTTCTGTTGGCCACCAAAACCTGAACATTATTAGTTTTATAGTCATTAGTTTGAAAATAGTGTACAGTACCTAACATCACATTCTATATCTTTTTACTTGTGTTTCATAGCTTTGGGATTTTTATTAATAATAATGGTGTTTATTTCTTATTTCTTTCTTTGTTACTTTATTAGTAGTGTTTGACCTTATCCTAATACTACACAGGTAATTGGGTTTATATTATTAGACACTGACTATGTTTTCCCATCGTAGTGGCACAGGTAGTTGGTGAAGTTGTCTAGATTTTTTGTGGGTATCCCAGTGCTTGTGGCTTAATCAGTGAGGTGCATGTCTTACTGGTGGGTGGCAGTGCAGGTCCGTGTTACTATTATTATTATTATTTCCTAACTTGTAGTAACTGTGATTATTTAGTAATTTGACATACTTCTCTGCAACAGACTTTGCTTGTTCTTGTAAGTTACCAAATCAACAAGTAAGTCATTATTGTATGTTTTTGATTACAGTTATTGCAAGGGGGAAAAAATAAAGAAAAAACTAATTTAGCGTTTTTAATGAGTGTGACTTTACTTGTATGCTCCTACTGAACATTGTATCATCCATTTGCTAATATACTCGGTGTTGGGCTAATGTTGCAGGTGGCTTTTGTGCATGATGGGAGTTCTTGTGGTCCCCAAGTAATTGTATTAGTTGGAAAGTTAATAATCCTGAGGTCTATTAAGATATAGTATACTTGAAATTTCCTACACCATTAACGGAAACACGACTAATTTTAAGCTCGTCCATCGGGTATTCACAGGTATAATGTGTGGTAATGTATTTATATGGGTTATAAATTAATTTTGATAGTTATAAGGGAGTAATTAGCTCATTATAACATTAATTATGAAGAGTATGTTGCACTCACACTGTTTTAAAGACTGTGTGTAGATGGTTCAGTCTTACTAAGGTTGTCTTCTAAGTACGGTATACTGTATATATATATATAATGAATGTGATGATGTGCAGTAAGTAAGTAAACTGTCCACTGAATTGCTTGAACATAAAAAGTTTGATCAAAAGAGAGGAGGAAATTACCAATTATTGTTAAATTATTACTACATTATTATTTTGTTTAGTAATATCTGTCAATCAAGGTCAGGAATTGAATTTTTATGATATATTTATTGTTATGTAATATTTCTAAGACAAAGATTTTGGGTGATATCTGTGGCAGTGAATTTATGTTGCTAATACAGGTATATACAGTATATAAAGGTTAATAAATCTTCCACCTTGGATTGTCTGTAACATAATGCAGTTTTGTTCATTTGCAATATTCAAGTTTTAAACATCATTTTGTTTTGCTTTGCATGCTTGCAATATTTGGGTAAATGTGTTGAAATTCATGATAAAAATTATACAGTACATAATGTTTGTGAATTGCTGTGTAACATAAAGTTAAGATTTTTTGTGTGTTTATTAAGAATGCATGCAATTGTTGGGAAAATTGTATGGAGTAACTTATAAATTACCAATGAATACTGTAGCATGGTGTATCTTGAACAAGGCACTAATGTCAGTGAACAGGAATAAATATAATGGAGAAGATTTTGTCACTGGCAGTCCTTGTGTCTGAACAGTAATTAGCAACGTGTAGTACTTCTCACATTATACAGAAACTGGTATTACAGTCTAATTTTTTATATATTACCCGGTATGCAGCATCGGTCAAACTGGGCCATAACCTAACCTGATAACTTGTATAGGAATTAGTTAGGATTAGGGTCCTTAAGGCTAGGTCTAGGGCCCATTTGGTTGTACAATATTATAAAGAGTGAATAATAATTGGTTCTTGCGCTGTGATATGACAAGAGTTTAGCTAAATTGATTAACATATAGTCCATAACCTCTTGAGTATGATGCCGGTCCCCTCAGTATGTTAACCACTTGAGGACAGTGACTTACTCCTCTTGAGTTTGATGATATTGTATTGAGGAAGTTAAGTCATTCTATTCAAGGAGTTAATGATAGTTTTAAAAGAGCTAGTGAATGGTGCATATTAATTCAATGCAATAGGAACACTTAAAAATAAAATGTAAATTTCCCTTTCTGAAATATATATAGATCGTAGTCTATGAAGAATTAGGGTTGTCCATTAAGTTACCTTTTTATATTGTATTTCAGCCTTTTGATGATGACATCCCTTACTGTCAATGTCTGTCTGTTTATTATCTTGCCTCCTCTCTCCCACTGTAATGTGACATGGCTCAACGAGGGGGGGACACTAGGTAGAGTATTGTAAGGCAGGGTGGACTAAAAGCCTCCCATTTGGTGTTTATAGGATAGGTTGCTTCTTTTCTAGACATCAGGTAATTTTCTTAACCTGATAAATCCTCATACTAGGCTCAGACAGCTGTTATATATTCTGTATTGTATTGAGCTCATGTTCCATTATTTCCAAAAAACTCTCTTAGTGTTTAGTTGATTAAGACGTTTCCCCTGAGGCCTCCAGTAAACCCTAGATGCTGCCCTACATTGCTTAGCTTTAAAGGAAGGTTATACAGACTCATAACTGGCTGGTCTACAAGAAACATAACTAAAGAGCTTGGTCCTGTGGAAGCAGACTTTACTAACCAATTTTTTTCTCTCTTCTCTTTCACGTGTGGCTTGTGTTAACCCCTACAGTAACAGTCAGTGAGTATCAACTTAAAGCTATCTTTATTTTTCCTCCCCAAGAAGTAGATCTTAGGCTGATTTTATAAGTTAGCACTGTAAGTTTTGTTTATGTATATTTATATTCAGTATATATAAACTAGTTAAGGGGTTGTGTCAAGGGTTTAAATTTGGCTTGAAGCTATTTTTTGGAACATGTTCTGTATGTATGGAGAGATTTTATAATTTGTTTATGGATGTACACCCACTAAAAAATTATTCGGCACCCGTAGGCGTGATACAATATGACACGGGTGCCGAATAATTTTTTAGTGGTGTACAAAGATTCAGGTGTGTTGGGGAGCTCTACATAACTGTTGAAGTCCTCCAAATTTTTTTTTTTTTGCTTCATATTTTGGTTCCGGTTTTGAAACTTGATGTGACACTGATTTTTAAGGCCATAGATACAACCATAAATATGTTATTTACATACACCCACAAATTTGACAAACAGTATCATACCAATTGTAATCCAAGATACAACTCCTTATAAACACTTGTGCTGAACTATAAAAATAGATTATTAGAATTAATTAATTTTTCTGGGCATAGAATAACTTAGTAGTAACTTATGGTCATTAATCATTTAGTTTTGAGTGTACATTATCTTGAAAATTGATGATATACAAGTACAGTACAGTATAGGTTCCTTCATGAACATATATTGTAAGAACAGCTGAACATATTCAGTAAATACTTAGTGATTGCTGCTTGTATTTATCTTGTGTTATGTTTTCAGGTTAAAATACGAGCACCGTTAGCTAAGGCAGAATCCTTCTTCAGTAAAGAACCCAGAATTAAGAGTGACGAGTAAACTTTAGCAACAGTGAAGAAGATCCTACACAGGCCATCCTTCAGTGAATGGATTGATATATAGGATTGTGTAGCAAGGAAGAAACTGTTGCTCTGGGTAGAACATATTTCATCCAGTGGTATTTATGGCATTAGATTCCTCTCGAGTTCTGAATTGAGAATGCATTTAAGGGCTTGAACAAAAAAATGAGGTTACAAATGTTTATGATTACATTTCAAGCTTATTTTTTGCTGTTAAAGTGAATCTCTTCATTTTCATTATATAATTTTTTTTTTTATGACTTGTGAAGTGTATACTTATGTGTTACGTCAGCACCATTTATTCTGTAGAACATTGGTTTTGATTCAGAGTGTGTGTGTGTGTGTTTAGTTCTGTTGTTTTACTGAAGGAATTACATGCCATCCATATATATTAAGTAAAAGGATAATTTATTTCTATCTTTGATTAAGTTTCTTAGAAATATTTGTTATATCAATTGGCTATGCATCATGAAGTCCCCAGCTGATCAGTTAATTTTCTTACTATTTTTACATAATGTGTAGTTTGCACCGCCCGGGTTCTCACGGGAAATTCTGAGATGTAGGGTGAGGGCTTCAGGACAGTGTAGCAGCTTATAGTATGTTCCCGTAGTCAGGAAAATCAAAATAAGTGGTACGTGTTGCTGGCTTTGGCTGCTTGGGTGAACCATGTTGGCTGCCTCTCTGCTGTCATAATAAGACCCTGACTAGGAGTAGTCTCCAGACTTGCGTCTCTTGTCTTTCCGAAATCCACGATACTCGGTCTTAGAGTTACAAGCCCGAAGTTATGTCCCGCTCTTCTTAACTAATAAATTAATGTATGAAGGAAAGCATTTGTAGAGAGTTAACTTTGTCAGGTTAGAGCTTTTATGTATTACTTTGTTTTAGTTGTATGAACATGCACCACGTGTACAAGCACATGGAGAGCGTTTTAAATGAGCTTCCTTTGTTTGGATGTATAAGAACAAATAAAAAATAATATAAGTTGAGTCTGAAACATGTGATAAAGATGGTGAGTGAAGATTAAAGTATATGTTAAAAGTAATGAATTAAATTATCTCTTATAGATTAGAGATTTATGTGGTAGTGCTTTCAGGCCATGTACTTATCCATAAACATTAATGTATATTTTTCTATATTAGGAGAATTAAAAGATAAAGCTTAACACTGTTTGTACTTTTTATAACAATAGAAATATAGTTGACACATTATTTAAACAGGCAGCTCTTTATTTTCACTGTTGCTCCACATATTTTTATTGGGTGTAGAAATGTGGCTCTTCTGTTGTGTTATATTAGTATAAGAGAAAAAAAAATTGTATTTTCATTTGGAATTCTAATGGAGCTACACAATAGTCCAGATGGGTGATGTAATGATATATGGCCAATATACAAGAACTACCCTGGGTGTTTTGTAAGAATATATTTCAGGACATTCTATATGGCAGGTTATTTTGGTTTTAATTGGAGTTCCCAATTTTTTTTAATATTCTTTCATTTCCATTTGCAACCAGTACAGGTAGTTGGTACATCTGTGTGAAGAGTTGAGGTGTCTATTATTTTGTAATGGAAGGTACAGTTGATGAGTGGACATATCCTTCTCAGTTACCTTCTGTACATTATGGTAAATTGTGCAAAATATTCCTAATTTTGTATGTGAACCTGTAATTATGTTGTGTAGTAACCTCAGATGATTTTTTACCTTAGGTCCAACCACTGTTCAGTTTATCCAAGGCCTGTTGTATCACTTGAGGTGGTGGAAAATGTTATCTTATGGAGCCTTTAAGAGTTGGGAAAAAATGATGGGCATTAGTGTCATTATTCCCTTCCTTGTGTTCTCTGTGTGTGGCTTTGGTTTAAATTGGTGATCAGGTTGCTTTATCAGCATATGTCTGATTCTCTTGCTTATGGAGAACATTACACATAAATGAGTTTGGCAGACACAATGACCAAATTGAACTGCTCAAAACTTTGTACATAACTATTGTAAGGTTTTTTCTGACTTTGCAAAATGCCTTTTGTCATTATTCTTTTCTGGGCTCTATATTTGTGTTTAGTTCATCTTCTGAATTCTTAGGAAATGAAGTTGCAAGAATTGCTCTCTGAGTATGATAGATGTCATGAACGTACTCTTGACTGTATATTTCACTGCCCCTTCTTCACTTACAATAATTGCAGAAATGACAACATTCCAATAACATTTTGTATTGTAGTGATAATAGTTAGTCTGTGTGTACACTGATGCCAGTGTGCACTTTAGGAACTGTTCCTTGTAAACATTATGAATAGGTCCATATTATTTGTCTTAGGCCACCTAATATTACCTGAGGAATAAGTTTTTAAGGATATGTTTAAGTTGTTGCTGACTTACATAGTTTACTAGTGGATTGTGTTTTAAATATTTATGCCAGATAAAGTTTAATTTAATTTTGAGGAATCTTAATTGTCTCAAGTTTAAGTTGTGCTTAGAACCATATCTTGGCATTAAGAGCCTCTGCAGTATCGGGGTTACGGGAGTTTTCTTTCAGGAACTACATCCTCGTGAACTATCGTGTGGTAGTGCGAGAATGTTGCCTCATTCCCATATATTGCAGCATTTCACATTTACTGCTTGACTACTTGAGGTCTTTAACTCTATTACTCACGAGAACGTCAGCCACAGGTATAACCTAATTTGTTTATGGGATCTTCTAAATTTGGCTGATATTTTGGCTTGTCAGGGACTTTGATACATGTATTCAAGGATGGTAAATGTGATACTTATATATTAACTTTATTTCCCTTGCCCGGAGGCTACAATGTTATTTATGCTGTGTTTTGATCATGACTGCTGCTATTTTGGATCTCACATATATTTCATACAATAGCCTCTTGTACTGCTGTGTAGATCAGTTGTTGCCTTCCATTTCTACCAGGTCAATAAATTTAACATCTGTTCCTAATATTTTATCTCCTTGTTAATACTGGTAGTCTGCATTCAGGTCTGTTATCCATGGCTTGTTTGTTGATATTTTTAAAGTTGATGTGGTTGTGCAGTAATTCTTGTAACATGAATTGGGCTGGATTAATAGACCGTGGTTCAGAGTTTAACTTTTGTGTACATTTCTTAATTGACATCTGACAATTATCAGGTACAAGATGTCTTAGAAAAACTAACAAATGATCAGAAAGATGTGTGCCAGCAAGTGAAAAATTTTGGTACAGGTTGCCTCCGTTATGCTGGATCCAAATTCATAATTACACAATTTCTTTACTATCCTCATTGTTTTTGGTAGGCTAAGATTTGCACATCTGCAGATTTGCAACACGATTTTTTGTCTTTCCCACACATAATGCTTCAGGGGAAAACATCTGACTCCCAGAACGCATCTGGAGTTTGTTGTATGTAAACTCTGTTGTACTCGCTGATTTGGTTTTATCTTTTAGCCACTGATGTCTCCCCCAAAACCAGCCTCCAAGTGCGAGTAAAGGTCCCCTGAAGAATCTTACGGAGATGTTAATACTTGGAACTAAGTTGGTACCCTTATTCTTTTAAGAATTGAAAATTAACATTTAGCCTTAAGGCCCCGGGTGACGTTCCAGAACGTCTGCCTATTTTCTCGCCATTTTATTTTATATTTTTTGTTAAAGTAGATTTTTTTCGCGATTTAACCCAACGAGAGGGGGGGGGCTACTGCCAGCAGCACCCTAACCTGGGGCTTAGGGTTAAGCTAATTTAGTACAGGTATCCCCCAAGATACGAACGTTTGAGACGCGAATTTCCTAAATTGACTCCGCTATTTCAAGAAACGAAAGCTTCCTCCTAATGTTGTGAATTTGGGTCCTGGTAAAAATTATTATTTCGCACTCCAGGAATCATTTGGCGTGGCCATCTTGGGGAAGAAATTCCCAGACGTATTCTCGCTCACTGATCATACACCCCTTCCCCCTCTTCCGCCATTCGTTGTGTGTGTGAAGTGATCTCTCTTTATCCATGTGTATTCATGCCATTCTTTCGTTACAATTTTTGTACTATATGCTCTGCTGAATCTTCGGCTACCAGTTCTACATCAAAGAAACCACGAAAGGCTGGGATTCTTGACAGTGCTGGAAGTAATTAAGCTTCATGATGAGCTTTGTGATGGCCCTACCAAGATTGGGGAAGATCTTGATCTGGGTGCTTCTACTGTAGCCACAATTTACAAGCATGCTGTGGTGTACATGGCAGACAGCAGTGATGAGGTGGATGACCACCCTCATCTCGCTGAGTAAGGCCCTTGTTCAGCCAACCCCCTTGTGGTGGTGAACCCATAAGGCCCTCTCATAAGGTAATGTACCTAAGTTACAGTATTTTATTAATTTTTTCATGTATTAAGTAACTAAATTTGTGTTAGGTAGTAATTTAGAGTAGTTGTGTACTATTTATCATTAGTTAGGTAGGCTGTCAAAAGTACAAATTCACAACTGACAAAAAGTTATTTTTTTTTTGTAAGTCCCATGTGTCACTTCAGAAATGCATCCGTGGCATAAATACTTCAGAAAAACAAGCTGCTATGTAAGTACCGTATATTCCCCAACACACTAGGGTAATGATTTAAAACACAGCTGATCAAGGAGGCAGCAATGATTTATTAATATTTCAACAGTTTATGAGTCCAATAGCCACTAATGATTAAATGTAATGCCTTTCGTAGTTAATCATTTATGTTCGTAGTAATAATGTGTGTTTCGCTGCATAAAAGTCAACGGTTGTAATTAAAGAGGTAGAAAAGGGAAATTAAATAGATTATAAAGTAAAATAAAAGGTAGTTTGGACAACACAATATAAATGATAGGTTGGATATTTTCAGGACAATTTTGCTGAAACTCCACCAAAGCCAACACCACTTATTATGAAATTACTCTTAAGATTGGTAGTTACATCAGCACATTTTTATATCACCTAATTCCACTGTAGTAAAAACATAAAAAATGAATCTTAAAAGGGGATGACAAAGCCAATGACACATTATAAAAACTATTGCATTTCACAACTGCATATAAAAGCAACTTGATAGAAAAACAAACAAAAATAAGCTTATGACATAAACCTACATAACAATCCCACTGGAGACGCCTCAAAACAAGCATTCTTGCTTATATATTTTACTCAATGATTCTTTTTTACAATTATTGTATTAAATATATTCAGGCATATTTGAGGTGTATAGGACCAGTGGACAAAGTGCCAGAAAAAAAAATGAAGTGGTGCTTTCCTCTGTGATCGACTGCTTGCCACCTTCAGCACCAGCCCTGCCTGTAGTGATGTGTGGGTAAAATCGAACATATTGCCTCTTCTGCTCAGGATACAGAGGTGGTTTCTCTCTCCGTTTGTGAAAAAATATCAATACTGATCATAGTGGCACTTTGTCCCCTCCGGTCATACGCACCTCATTTCTTCATTCACTTTATGGCATGTTACAAAATATCAGGATGAGATACTGTACTATGAACATAATTCAAGCACTGTTGATGTAACAAAAATTGCATCACAGTTCTACACACTGAAGAATTTCACTCGCCAAAAATAATGTTGAACAAATTCGCATTTTCTCCTTTTCCACAAATAGAAAAATTTCTTACTATTTGCAAATTGACATACTATACAGTTGGAAGGAAGAGTCTCCATTTACTCTTGATTCTGGCCACTGTATCAAGGCAGGTGTGTCATCTACTGAACATCAAAACTTGAGAAATGTGAACAATATCCAGATTCTGTTGTCAAAAAATAATTCATTAACTAATTTGATTATAGTTTCATACTTTTGCTTATCCTGTTGAGATGCTTCCATAATCTTCTTGTCAGTATCAATGAGGCACAGGGAATTGTTGTTGATATACTGTATTTCAGTTTCACTTGAACTTTCACCTAAATGTAATTAAACACTGGATGTAATTAAACACTGTAGTACAGGGGAGGGGGTACTGCACTTACAACAAAAAATAATTCTTTGATCTCAGTCTAGCTTATAACCACAAAAATATACTCAAGATGAAAGACGGTTGCAAAAACATACACACAGTATATAACAGTACACTTTACCCGCATTATTTAGACAAAAGGGGGGCTCTGGGTCACACGAGTTACTGAAAAATCTGAATTAACTGAGTTCTGATATATTTTGACATTATTAGAAAATTTACATTTACATTTGTTTTGTTCCTCGTTATCCCAAATAACCGCTTGGTTATTTCGCATTCAAACAGTTAATTTATTTGGGGGGGGGGAAAAATACAAATTAAGCCGAAATCCTAATTAGGGTAATGAGGGTACACTGTACTGTATATCTGAGATTAACACAAGCTAACTTTTTTCACATACTGGACTCTATAAATTCACGGCTTCTCTACAAACATGACTTATACATTTGTTACGATAAAAAAAAAAGATATTGTAGAAAGGTGTCCAGACAATGTCCAAATATCTAAATAATTTGAGAATTTAATTTCCAATAAAACAGGAACAAGTGAGTATAAAGAACTAATACTGAACTTCCAAATACACACGGAAGAAATTACTGCATGTTCTAGGTCAGCTCTTGACATATCACTCAAGCATTTCTTCAAATTCAACAATATTGTATGCCTGAATTGCTCTTGATTTCACCCACCCTGCACCATAGCGTGAGAGGGCTTGTAATAGTATAAAAAAAAAAGTCAATTACCAGTTAGTTATTTTTTTATATACCCGGTAGCGTATAATGCCCCATTTTGAAGAGACAAACAGTGACGACCTATAATATATATATATATATATACTGTATATATATATCAAAATCTAGTCATTACCTAATTTGGCTTATCTGAAGAGCTAAAATGTACAAAATGTTAGTTTATGGTTGAACAAGGAGGAAAAATTCACTAGTAATAGTAAAGAGTATTTACAAACATACTATAAAGCACCAAGCATCTCATCGCTTTGTGTACTTATCAATATATTCCCTAACTTTCCGTCTAAAAGATTCCTTGTCTCGTTGATAATGTTCAGCGGCTTCAATGTTGAGAGGGTCGTCAAAGTTCAACAGGTCCTAGGTGGAAACAAACATGGTGAGAAATGGTTTTAGGGTACCAAAGGTGGCAGCATTTTGGTGACATACTGTACAGTACTGTAATTACACCTAATTTATTCTCGTGCATTATGACACGAATTGCATTACTGTATTAAACTTTAAATACTTGCCCAAAAAAAGTTTTCCAGGTAACTGTATCAAATTTGTCTTATACAGTATAGAAAAAACTAAACAGTTCACTTCACTTTATACCAAGTGAATGTAGACCTTGTTACTGAGTCCTGGCTAAATAGCATGGAACAATACACCAAATGTGCTAAGGGAATTTTTATAAAGTAATGAAATATTAAGTAATTACGGTTTATATTATAAAACGACTGTGGTACAATATACAAATGTTAAGGAGTAATGGTAACGGCCTTTATATGTGGGAGGAGAATGAGTGCATTGGAATTTAGTCTCCAAACTGCAGTGTTTTCTTGTGAAGCCTAGCTGTCAGATTAGAGAAACTGGGCATCTGGATGAAGTTTATAAAAAAAGATCTATGAGAGAAAACAAATAATTCTTACCATAAATAAACTACTGAGACCCCAGACAACATCCTTTAATCTTCGTGTAGGGGCCCAACCAAGGCCATCGATGGAATTTTGCCGAAGCAGAGATAAACAGATTTCTCCCTCTTCACTAATATTTGGATGCCAGAGTTTTGTTTCACACCTCACTAAAGGCGGCTGAAAATTAAATACACATACGTAATATATTGACTGCATGAGATAGAAATATAATCACAAACTTTTTAATTCTAGTAAACTCTCTTGTTTGGTATAGGCTGCCAGAATCAAGAGCAACACAGTCCATCCCATTATTTTTATACACACATTCCTTCTACTGTATTGATAACCGCTAGATATAATCAAGAATTTGACAAATCCTGAAAGTTATATTAATTAAGTCACTTGATCAGCATTTTGGCCCAAATATTCTTTCAAACTTCCATTTTGTAATCCTTGTAAACCAAGCAGTATCCTTCTCCACTTCGTCTTCACAGTCTTGGACATTTTGGAAGATCTACTGAGCCATCCACCTCACTAACCTGTAGTCTTCTTCCACATTTATACTCACTTTGCTTAATAATTCTGCTGTCATTCTCTCGACTCTTTCACACTAGCAGAGTAATCCATGGTACCTTAACATACCACTTGCTTTCTAGTACGTTAATCATCTTTTACTTCACCCTTCACTCAAGCTACTTGACTACTCAATCCACTCTTTAGAGTTTGGAAAACGACCTCCACCGTTTGTACTCTTATAAACATCCCACAGTTACAAACTCTTACCTTTCACAAGCATACAAAACTGCATTACAGACAATCCTTCCCTACACCCCCCTCCCCTTGTCTGTCCCTCAATCTTCTTCTATATCCTTATTAATATCCTACAACTGTCCAACACAGACTCCTGTACTTACTGCTATGTTGTATTCTTCAGGGACGTTGATACTAAATGCAAAAACACCACCAGACCAATAGCCCTCTGGGGGTGTCACAATTAGATGAAAAGAGTGTAAAGTGTCTGGGTCATCAAACTTTGCAGCACATCCTTCCGGAAGATTACTCTCCATTTCACTAACCTGTTTTCAAGAAACAATGTTAGTTTACTATACAGAAACTATCTACAAGCATTGTACAATAATTCCATTCTATCAAGTTCTTTAATAAAAATAAAAACATTATTTTATATCAAAGACATAACTTCATAAACTATAAAGAAATACACAAGCAACAAAAGAGATGCTCATGGATCTTGTTGTAAATGGACAGTCTCTCCTCGACTTATGATATATTCGACTTACGACGGCCATGGTCATATAAAATATTTTTCACACTACGTATTTTCGAGTCCCAACGTTGGTGATCGCACTGTGTACTGACAAAATTTTCGTTTGTAATTCCCTTTAAAATGGCTGACAAGCATAAAAGTGAGAGTTCTCGTGGTGCTGAGAAGAAGAGACACCCATTTAGAATTTCTATGTACAGTATTATTTTCGACTTACGACCAATTCGACTTACAACCTGGTCGTCGGGACGGAACCCCGTCGTAAGTCGAGGAGAGACTGTAGATACCTGTATTACTTTAAGAAAGAACGAAAGAAAAATAAAAGGAAACAATGTACAAGTAGCTGTAAGTAAACTATACAAGTTGACAGTACATAACCTGGGAGTCCAGAGAAAACAGAAATGGAAAATAGCAACACAAAGTCATATGAGTAATGCCTGAGTGAAGCAGACCACCTGTACAGTACAGTCAAGTCCTGTCGCTTCTGCCAATTCATGAACCTTGAGATTCAGACTCGTGGCTGTAGAAATACATTTGTGTCGACTGAGTCTGTTTCCTTGAGTGGGATACTACTGTAGTTCTAAAGACAGCTCAGTACATGGCAGTCACACATAACAACATGTAATAATAAAACACTGTACCTCTTTAACAAGTAGTTGATCACGAATTGATATCCGCTTCTTAGGAGGGTCTGGTAACCCTCCTCCCTTACTTGATTTCAATTTTTTTGTTAAAGTAATCATTCCTGAAAGACATAACTTCATTAAAAATTGACCATCTGATAATTATTAAACCAGATGATGCAATTTGAAGCATTAACCAACAGTATCATACACACAGTCCAATTGTTTCTGGTGATTGTCACATTATATAGCTACTGGAATTTATATAAGATAACCAACTAATACTTACAAACCTAACCTAACCTAACCTGAGATATACGACCGGTATCGTACATCATTGTTAGATAGGGTGAAGCACGGTAGATTCTGTTACTTCATCTTGTCGTATAAATCACATAATGTAACAGTCACTGGAAGTATTTGTATGGGAACAAATTAACTGTGTCATGATATGTAAATTAAGCCAGAATGCGTTCTGTAACCTAACACCTTCCCTACTGGGTTCCACAGCACATTAGGAAGTTCATGGCAGAGTTTCCAAACAAAATTCCTATGAACAAGTAAATTGCCTTCTACACTTTTACCACAGTGTTATTATACTTCTGAGCGACTACCACAAAAAATAAGGAAGCACCAAGAACAGTCATCAATAAACTGATAATTTTCTGCTGAGTAGTTCATGATGATATATCCACGACCTTTAAAGTTAATTTACTAACTTTATATTGTTTCTGTATTATCAACTCATTCTACTGGCCAGGTTAAAAACTGGTAATACACAAAAAAATAAGATTTTGAGTATATGACTGGAGTGTTTGTACTACTCAAGTGACAGTCATATAATTCATCATCTTCTGCCAAAATCTTCAAGTCTTGGTGTACTCCCTCCTACCTTAACCTCGTCTGGCCTTAATTTACTCAGAAAACAGCCAACAACAGCATCAGTGTTCATAGTAACTATAAATGATACAGACATCTGAAACACTCCAGCTTATTCAACGAGCCAAGAAGCGTAACAGGGAAATAATAGTGTGTGGTACAAGCTTACCTCCCACAGCCAAACAAACACTGAGGCGTCCAGCAGAGATAGATCCCCAGTGATGGTGACCAAGACCCCTCACTAACACCTAACTCATGGTGTTGTGGTCGCTTATAACACTCTTACCTCCTCCATATTTATTCATCCCATTCGATAAATTTGTAATTGTATTTACTGATTGACTTGTTCATATTTTAATTACTGCGTTTATATCCTGGATGAAGGCTTCATGCTCGTATCCAGATCTTTTTTTTTTCTATTCTACTATACTTGAGTGACACTGGCGCCTGCATTACGGAACCTCAGTTGTCGGGGGAGGTTAGAACGCCTGCATTTGCCTAGCTTATACTATAATCTGGCAAGGAGTGATTTAATTAAAGTCTATAAACACCTCAGCGACTAATTCATTACTCAGTCGAGTGTTCATACCTGGAACTGACGGATGCCCACCCCACAAGAAATCATAGCTAAGGTTGAAGAAGCCACAAGTTCAGAAAATTGTCTGGACAAACTTTTTCGGAGTGAAAATTGTAGACTCTTGGGGCTCTCTGCCGGAGAGTGTTGTGATGGCACCGAGTTAGAAATTTTCAAGTCTGGTTTCTCAAGCATAAAAGAAAACGGAACCTCTAGGGTCGGAGGCTGTCGGAGCTCGTGACGTCACAAGTCAACAACAACAACGAGAAACATTAAAATATGTCGAGCACTTGCTCAGTTTTTAGGTGTTTATCACAAATTAGAAAGATGATTGATGTAAATTTCCATTGTTTTCCGAAGGATAAAGAACTACGAAGAAGATGGATTTACTTGTGCAAGAGGAAGGACTTTATAAATACTGAAAATACCCAAATATGTAGCTTGCATTTTGAAGCCACAGCCTGGACTTAGACTTGTCATTTGTGTTTCTGTACTGTATTGCCATTTGGATGCTGGACGAAACACAAAGATTTCCTCTATAGGGTATGAGAGCTGCCCCTTTAGTTTACCTTGCCATAGGTGGTGATGTTGGTGGTGCCAGTGGTAATTACCATGGTGATGCCGTGGTTGCGGCAGCTCGTTCCATGTTACAGTTGGACATTTTCAGCTGTAATGGTGCAGTCTATTTCCCAAAGTTTTGTTGTAACATCTCCTGTAACAAAGAAAATGTCATATTTACTATAAAGAACTTGGGGCTGATAGGTTAGGTTAGGATAGCATTAGGGTGTTTAATCAACAGCTGAAATAATCTGAGGTGTCTAATCTTCATGCTATCCATTCTTCCATCTGAGGTTTTAACCATGGCCACTTATGAAACAGTAAATGACATGGTGACAAACTTCACAAGTGGAGCAATTTAACCAAGTGACATAAACAGAGGGCAATGAGGTCATTCAATTTACATATTGAAGTAAAATACTGCAGAGAGGTGAAGGTTAGGTAAGGTTAGGTTACTTCAAAGTCAAGGCTATATTGTTGTAATCGGCTAGGAATTTCCAGCAGGGCACACTGGAAGTTACATGGTTAGGATGTGAAGTTAGGAAGAAGTCATGTACGTGTCCTGATATGAGAATCGTTAGTTTGGTTCCTTTGGTCTAACCTAAACTAACTATTAATGAAAAATTAAAAAAGTAATCTAATAATACTTTAAAAGGGGTGAACAAATCAATGAGCAAAATTAGGAAAATATTCAATACAGTAGAATAAATCTTCCTTTCTCAAGAACTCCCAAATTAAATGGTGCAGGAATTATTTTTTACCAATCCTAACCAAAGCAAAAAACCTATGTGACTTTTCCACCCCAACTTAACATCCCGGCTACATAACTTCCGGTCTGCCCAGCTGGGATTTCCTGGCTAAATGACCACCTCCTATATTGTTGGCCAGTCATCCCCTCATCTAGACAAAAATTTGCCATCTGACGAAGAAATACCGACCCTACGCGCGGAAGAATTGATCTCTTAGCCAATGTGATTTTACAGTAGGAGTGTGAATAAGTCCATTTGAATATAATATCACAGTTGCGCAACTTATTTCCCAAATAAGTTGACAAACTATCGGCCTGACCGTTTCTTATGGCTTTATATAGTCACGCCAGTGAGAACTAACAGTTCTACACTAAGAACCGCTTCTTCGGGGACTATTATGCAGTAGTCGGAGGTGAAGTATTTCTTAACGTCGCTATTGATCGATCAGTTAGCTGCTTGGGCGGTCGGTCACATCTCTGTTGGTTTACTTGATCATTATTGTACATGAGCTGAGCCTTAAGTCTACTCAGGTCTGTCCTCTTTAAAACACGATAATCGGGAGACTTTTTGTATTATCTAGTTGGGTCTTACAGCTCAGTGGAACGAGATGGCGTGGAAGGTCTTAGTTGGTGGTAGGAAATCTTGAAGGTTATCAAGTTTGAAAATTGATTCATACTTTAGCTATATCTGTTGTGTAGATGTTATAATGTTAGTGTATTGCCTTCATGGTGTCCAGGATGCTCCGAGACTCTACCTACTCCACCCCTCCTCCCCCAGCTGGTTTCATTCTCATCAGCTACGAACCAAAGAAACGATTGACGTAACGAACCCCCTGAGAATCCCATTCCAAACCCAATACCAATAACATTAACGTCATTTCATACACTTGAGAGCATCTGTCGCTTCCCACTAGACTTATTTTGAGATATTTTATCGGCGGTAATGTGTTTTAGCTCGTCAACCTCTGGAGATAGTGAGAGGCAGTTTAAAGTTGTCCCGGAGTCTGTTTTTACACGTTATATTGCTGGTCCTGTTGAAGTATGATGGTGATTTTTTTTACCCTGCCCCTTTCACTCACCTGCCCCTCTCACCCACCTGCCCGTCACCCACCTGCCCCTGTCACCCACCTGCCCTGCCCTGTCACCCACCTGCCCGTCACCCACCTGCCCGTCACCCACCTGCCCTCTCACTCACCTGCCCCTCTCACCCACCTGCCCGTCACCCACCTGCCCCTCTCACCCACCTGCCCCTGTCACCCACCTGTCCCTCTCACCCACCTTCCCTCTCACTCACCTGCCCCTCTCACCCATCTGCCCCTCACTCATCTGCCCCTATCACCCACCTACCCCTCTCACTCACTTGTCCCTCTCACAACAGCTGCCCCTCTCACTCACCTGCCCCTCTCACCCACCTGCCCCTCTCACTAACCTGTCCCTCTCCCAGTTATGAAAAGAATGCACTAATTCTAAATTGTATATAATTATCGAATCTCCTCCTACCTGTAATTTATTTAAGTATCGTATGAATGATTGAAAGTTATCATGGAGAAATAAGTAAACGGTGTGTGTGTGTGTGTGTGTGTGTGTCATATCTCAGTGGTGGTTGTGTGAAGACTAAGGCGAATATTTCTACCTACCCGGACCACCACCACGAGACGGGACCTTCACCAATCATCTGTGATCAGTCCCTCCCTGCTGACACCTTCTCAACAGTGCATACCAAGTGAGCAATGAGCCGCTTGTTACCACCCAGCCACTACCTGAAATATAACTCAACCACCACGGCTAAATCTAAACAATAAACAATAAAACAGCAATACGTCTTGGCGGTGCTATGCGTCTCGGCGGTGTTTTGAAATTACCGTAAGGTGCACATCAGTATTTTATCACATAAGTATGATATATTCCTAAAGTGCATGGCATCAAGTACCTATAATGACGTATGGTGGCTGGGAAACATGGATGATGAAGCAGGTGAGAGGAAGACTTACTCTACACAATTAGAGATAGCTTGTGTGACAGTGCATAAAAGGTGACCCGCGGTGAGGCCCCCCTACTGTACTGCAGCACACATCTCCAACAGCAGGCGTTTACAGCATTCAGTCTTGATATAAAAGAAGTGTGGTACAGCAGCAGGAGTGCTGTATATATAAGAGGTAGAGAACCAAGCAGGAAGACATGAGGATTTTGGTACTTGTGTTGGCGCTCTTGTCGTCCACCCGAGCTCAAGGTAACTATGACGGCCCGAACTGTCTCCTCCCTCACTCCCTCACCTCCGCCATTCCCTCACCCTCCCCACACCCTCAACACCAAGACATTATCACCAACTTCACCAGAAGTAAAACCTATTTATCAGGTACAAGTATCAATAACAGTAGTGGTGAAACTTCTCGTATTTAAAGTAAACATTTCAACCCTCCGAGTATTACACTGGCTCTTATATTATTATTATTATTATCTTTAGTAATATTTTAATCATTATGTGAACCTTCAGTAACGGCCGCCTCACCTCAGAGACTATTATACAGTATTCTTCACGTTCCCTCTCAGACAAGTGTAACCCCCGGGTGTATGACTATGACAGCGTGGTGTGTGTGTGTGACGCCTCCTACTGCGACAACCCGGGCATTATCACCTTCCCTGAGAAAGGGAAGTTCACCCTCGTCACCTCCACCAAGGACGGCCTCAGATTCAACGTGGAAGAGTTCCCCGTCTCCAACGAGGAGGACCCTGGTGAGTAACGGAGGTAAACCCTCTCTTGAGGCTGAAAGAGTCAGCGGTCCTGTTGTAAACAGTTGTGTACAAGTGACAGTCTGTGAAGGAGGAGTGATCAAATGGACTTTTCTCTCACAACTCTCCTACTGTGTTTCTCGCAACTATCGTCTTGTATAACATTACTTTAACACAGACTCGAAGCCTCTAAGGCAGCAGCTTCTTTTTTTAATACACACCAATAACCTGCAACAAGCAACACATGCTCAGTCAACACATGTTATCTCCAGACGCTGTGGTGGTGACCATCAACCCAGAGGACGAGTATCAGATCATCCTAGGCTTCGGCGGCGCCTTCACCGACTCCACAGGTCTTAATGTGGTCAGTTTACCTGAAGACGCCCAGGAACACTTCTATAAGTAAGCACGTGGTGTAGTGGGCATCTGTCTGACTCGGTGATCTACAGCACTAATAACGCCCACAAGTTTCAAGTCATTATCAGTAATGAAACGTTTTTTCTTTAAGTAATGATGTTGGTATTACAAGTCTTACTACGTTTAAACTATTCCACTCGGCTGTAGATCATGTCGGTACTCGAGGACATGAAATAAATCCCAAATATCTCACCCTTCTTCCGTAAGTTGAAATTTATGAGATGAAAATAACAGTAGTTGTTGTTTGTAAGCTTAGAAAAACATACAATGTTCTCTTCACAAACCGGAAAACTTGTTAATGTGGCCCATTGTTAATATCTGCAGCTCCTACTTCACCTCTGAGGGGATAGGGTACACCATAGGCCGTATCCCCATCGCTGGCGCCGACTGCTCCACCAGAACTTACTCCTACGACGACGTGGCGGGCGACGTCGACCTGCAACATTTCAACTTGACTTTCGAAGATTATGACTATAAGGTAAATGTAGAGTAACCTTTACGTCACCCGGACATACTGACCTTACAATACAGTCAATGTTTCAGAAGTTTGAGCTGACAACACAAATATTATCCAAACATCTTCTGGCGGGTTTGCAAACATACATTTTCCAGAGGTCCAATGAGTGTAATGCAGTAATAACATAACCAATGCCATACCTGCCACAGTCTCACGGCCATCAAGTCTCACACCACAAGACACTCAAAATTTAAAGACAGTTGAGGTAAAATTCGTCGCCACAACACGTGTAATGAGTAACAAACATAAAATGACGCCTGCGCCTCCACCAGATTCCCGTGATAAAGCGAGCTAAGGAACTGTCGCCAGAGCTTAAGTTGTTTGGGTCGCCCTGGTCACCACCGGCCTGGATGAAGACTAATGGCATGTTCAACCAGTCAGGAACACTGATTAAGGAGTATTGGCAACCCTGGGCCAACTATATCGTCAAGTGAGTGTTGACACCGGGGTAGTGGTGGAGGGTGGTGGGCCAGCTTGGTAAATATTCTGGATTATTGCTGCATCTTGTAAATACAATCCGGGAGTGTTGGTATGACTAGTGGATAAAGTCTGAAAATGTTGGTATACTTGATATAATATGATCTAGATATGTTTTTGTTCATGTCATTTGTATTTATTAAATTGTACAGAACTCGTAAGTTAATCACACTGATAGTCAAGGATATACTAAGTGCATTATGGTGGTGGAAGATGTCACATGATTGTGCTGATGCATTTTAGTGTATATCATGATCATTCACTCTTGAACAGATTCTTGGACGCGTATGAGGCAGAGGGAGTAGAGCTATGGGGCCTAACACCGCAGAATGAACCAATGGGCGGCTTCCAAGCAGTAAGTGTTTCTTAAGCCTTCGTCACCATCTTCCTAATTAGAAGTACTGTTAAATTTATCTTATAATGATAACATTCTAATATGGAATACATGTTTAGTGAGTATTGTTTACTTTCATGAAGGACTGGCACATTAATGTGTGTGGCTGGACCTCCCTGGACATGCGAGACTGGATCAAGAACAACCTCGGCCCCACGCTGCAGGCTGCCGGGTACCGTCGCCTCAAGATGATGGTCGATGACTTTAACCGAGACACTTTAACCTGGTACGTCGAGCCGGTAAGTCCTGTTGTGTTTTTGTCGCTGAGGAGTTAACCCAGCGCTACTATGTTGAACTCTTTGTAGCAACAGATGTGAGTAAATGAACGACTTCTCTTCTGTGGTATGTTGACGTTGTGATCCTACAGATGCTGGAGGACCCTGACTCAGCCCAGTACATAGACGGTATAGCGATACACTGGTACGAGGATAAGTATGTCGGCCCTCACATCCTGGACAAGACCCAAGCGTTGGCTCCAGATAAGTTCCTGCTCTACTCCGAGGCTTGTTTTGGTAAGGGTAAACACTGGTGCGTAGAGCATCTTGCAGGGAAAACTAATTTTGTGAGGAAGGCTTGTTAAGGGATAGATAGTGGCTTGTGGTGATAGTAATGTGAACACTGAATGTCTGAATCAAAGAAAATGGGACTTCAGGTCGGCGTGAGTAGTTACGGTCGAAGAATATGCCTTCAATAAAAGATGTATTCAGATTAAATAGTGACAATCTACAAGACAATATTTCAACAGATAAATTATAGTTGTTATTATAGTATCTTTGCCTCCCAGTTCAGATCAGAAAAAAAATTATACATTAAAACGTGTCCCCCATAACTCAACTAACTTTACTGGAACATGAGTCTTCCATCAGATGACCAAGGCGCTTTAGGTAACACATAACAGGACTTAACACTGCACTTTTAACTCTACTACAGAGAAAGGTGTTAAGCTGGGGTCGTGGGACAGAGGTATGGAGTACCTTCACTTCATGATGGAGGTAAGAAAGTCACCCTCAGTCCCTCAGTGAGTTTTCCTGGTTTAGCTTAGGCATCCAGTATCGCTGTATACTGTAGGGAAATCTATGAGACGAGATAATTTCATACATTCTTTAAAATATAAGAAGACTTCACCGTTTGTATTGTGAGTAGAGTCATACAAGGAATATCCATTTTCATATTCACCAAGTCTCCTACAGTGTAGGACCTACACCATTCAGTCTACCTGTTCTACACCGTGATTCATTAACGAGTCTGTAAATGTTCCTTTTGATTTTCATTATTATTAAAGTTTAAAAGAATATGAATGAATGACCTAAGCTGTTGCGTCGCCAGGGATGATAGTACCACAATCAATCAATAAATAAATCAGTCAATCAATCAATCAAACAGTCAATCAATCAATCAACCAGTGTGCTGCAATTAAAAGGTTTGTAACAGCAGCATAATGTTTTTCTGGTGGCGTTATCACCAAGGTCATCAACACTGTTACAGGCCTTGAACCATCACTGTGTGGGCTGGGTCGACTGGAACTTGGCGCTGGACACTGAAGGAGGACCTAACTGGGCTAGTAACTGGCTCGACGCCCCCATTATCATCAACCCCGTCAGTATAATCTACACCAAGTCGTCCTAATATGTCCTATAGTGCACTATTATCCCAAACATTTTTCAGTCGCCTACATGATAATGTACTGTATATGTAATTTAACTCTTACAGGAGGCGGGAGAGTTCTATAAGGAGCCAATATTCTACGCCATTGGTCACCTCAGCAAGTTTGTGGAACCAGGAGCTGTCCGCATCAGCTCGACGACTACAGATTACATGTTGGACGTGGCCGCCTTCAACGACCCGTCAGGCCGTAAAGTGGTCGTTCTCCTCAACAGGTAAAGAACACGACCGACACGAACCTGTAGTGTTTTGGTGGGGATAAGTCTGCTGTAACTCCCCTCCAGAACTCACGGTATATATTTACACTTTTAACATAGGTTTTTTTCTGTTAAAAAGGGAGTTTGCTCTTAAGAATTGACGTCATCAGTAATAATTAATATAAGTTTATCAGTGGGACAAGAGATGAGGCCAACAGCTCACTCAACAGCCGCTATGGTACAACACATAAAAGTACTTCACCAGTGACACAACAGTGAAAAACTCTATTGGTTTTTGGTTCCAGAGGTGATGCCGAGATAAAGGTGTCCCTCACTGATGGCTCCGACATTTTCGTCAACTTCGGTATGGAAGCCGGAGCCATCCAGACCATCTTGTACTAGCCCCCGGCAGGACCCGACCTGGTTCTACCACCAGTTGAACCCTTTTACGGGATCTCGTTCCACGTTAGTTAAAATTTTGTGTTCAGTAGTGTTCCAGAGACGACTGGACCTGACCAAACCCAACTTCCAGCTCCTGCAGCAGCGACACTATAACGATCAAGTAAACCATAAAATTTCACATTTCTCTTGTTTCTCTGACCTGTTGTTGACCTCCTAGTGGTGGTGTTATTGCAAGTGGTGCTGCAGGGAAAATTTATTTCAGTAGTTTTTGGTAATGGGAATTACAGATCTTGAATATAGATGTTTCTGAAATTGTCAAATAACTACAATACAATTAGTTTTAAAGACATCCTAGTTATACTGTAGCTTCCGTCATAAACGTTCGAGTATTTTCTTTTCCAATTTGGGTACAGGAGCCACAGTACACAGGTGTAGCAACATTTGTTCCCACATCGAGATTGTGATGAATTTCACGAAATAAAGAATCACTTTCCTCTGACGTGAGAGACTGTGACAACAAGGACGAGACAATTGTCACCAGTAGCCGCCAAGTAAAGTAAAAGTCGCTGTTAGAGGGTGTGTGGCCTGACAGTGCAGTGCAGTGTATTATAATGACCCGTGACGTTCACTAAATACCCTAATGTTTCTATATTGTGAGGGAGTACTAACACGTGAGCTGAGGGATGATAAGGGTACCTGGGAGAGCCACAGGTGACATCAACAGAAGGGTTAAAATGTCGCGTGTAACTTTAGGGACGGGGAACTTCTGGTCCGCCTATACTGTAAAGCTCGAAGAGGATAAGATAAGAATGTGTCATGGCTGAGGGTTTTAGATAAAACAATATTTGTTGGAATTATATCAAGGATTTGTGCAGTAACAGCTGATTGTTCAATTAATGATTCTGAACCGATTGTCAAGACCAATTTAATAAATTTTGAGGTTGTTATACATAACTCAGCATCATATTATTCCTAAAATAACATTTTAAGTGGTATACTGTAGCCGATAGTGTGCGTGCCACTCTCCAATCCCTCCTGGGTTCGAGCCCGAGGTCGAGGATAGCTAAAGAAAGATGTTCCCTAATGCATAAATGTTTTTAACACAGCTGTATATATATATATATATATATATATATATATATATATATATATATATATATATATATATATATGTGACACTATGACTAGGTTAAATAAATTTTAGATTATTATAACTAGTCTAGTATAATATATAGGCCATTAAATCACGTTTTCAGCCTTATTAGTAGAGGGTAAAATGCGATAAAGGTAAAGGAACTCCGCCCGCCCCGAAACCAGAATATTGGTAAACAAACAAATCTACCTGGTGGCGAGGCTACACAGCTACAGTACCACGTTACCTGTGTATGGGAAACAGCAGATGCAGGTATGTGCTTATTTTAATTCTAGTAACTAATTTTTTAAAGTTAATAAAGCAGCAAAGGTAAAATATACGGCTGGTGATCGACAGTGGTTAAGTAATTATGAGGGTTTTTTTAAAGAGTTTTGCTAAAACTGCAGTTTTGGACAATACCTCTAGTAGTTGACCAATGTGTTTTTCCGATTGTTTAGACAATTTTATGAAACTCACCCCACAAGGGGTCACAGTTCAAGGTTGAAGAAGCCGTAAGTCCAGAAAACTGTAAAGGCAAACTTTTCAGAGTGAAAGTTGAGAACTCTTGGAACAATCTACCAGAGAGTGTTGTGTCAGCACCGAGTGTGAGCTCTTTCAACACCAGACTTGACCAACACTGGAGCAGGTTCAGATATATTCAGGAGCCGGTGCATGCCCAGTACTTGCCAACAGTGCGTAACAGAGACGTGACCCACCACTTAAGTGGCTAACGAGCCGATCAGTGGCGAAGAGGATAAAAGTAAAAAAAAAAAAAGTCATGTATTGTCAGCCTGTGTTAGGAGATTATGAAGATGAAAGTAATTGGGTAATTTCTGAGAACAGCACTACCACCAGAAGGAGTTGTTCGATTTCATTAATTTTTCCACAGATGTTCTTATTATTATATTAAGTATTTTAAAAGAGGCTACATTTACAAGAACCTAATAGAACCTGACCTAACCAACCAAAGAAACCTACCAAACCTTACCTAACTTCCTCGCTGGGGAGCTCTGTTCCCCAAACTTCTTGCTATATTAAGCAGAAAGTACTTACTTTGATATCTGGTACCAATAAAAGCAACTTTCTTAAATTGTCATGGTGTTTTAAACTGCAATTTAATCAGTCAATTGAAAGCACATATCCACACACATTTATGGTAACTTTAGGTTATACAGTAGTTACAGGACTGTCACTCGGTGCCAATACGGGAACAAATACCTTTTTAACCCCTGCATTTTCCTTCCATAGTAATTGATATTGTGCTTGAGCAATTGCTTTGTGTTTTTAATTCTACATTTTCACTTGCAGTTGTGACAGACTTTAAAGATCAATTATACAGAGTAATCTCCTCATATCTGTGGGTTGGCGACTACAGCCCGTGAACGTTTCGAGTGGAGGACTCCTCCACTCTAAATATTCTTGGGCTGTTTCTACCAATCCTCTGAGGTTATGTATCTCTCTGGGAACCCAGTTATTAATTTATTTCATCCATCCCAGTCTCTGCCTTCCCCTGGCCCCTTTATCCTCAACGTTGCCCATTAATATTTGTTATTATTCCCTCATCCCAAATTATATGACCAAGTATCTCATTTTTCTTTTTCTGTACATTTCAAGTATTTCTCTTGAAGTTCTTGCTAATCCTAGTACTTCTTCATTCCTTTTTCTCTCAGTGTAGCCTTTTCTTAGCATTCTCCTGTAACACCACTTTTAAATGGCCTCCAACTTCTTTCTGGTGTCTGCTGAAAGTGTCCACAGGTTAGGATGTTAGATAAGGTTAGGTCAGGTTCTAATAGGTTCTGTATATTCTTGCTTCCATTTTCGTTTTCAGTGTCATGCAAATAGTATCTCCAGGAATTTTGGTTCAGATCCATAAGTTACTTCTGGTGGTAACTGCCTCCTCCACCTTTACCAATAATATTTGAAAGTGTTTCATCTTGATTAGTTATAATACTCGTACAGTATTACGTTTTCTTAAAAAAAAAGATTGCCATCAAGAATGATATGAATCTGTGATAGTCATCTCAAAGTTCAATGTTTAATTCTTTCATTTCACTATCAGCACAGCTGGTGTGGGTGGTACAGTATGGGACTGCAGCCCTAAAACATACACCCAAATTTCCTGGACCCTTAACTGCACATTACAGATCTGTGGCTAACTGTGGTGTGCACAAAATATTTTGGTCTTTAAATTTTAAACTTACCTTATAAAACTTAACATGTATGCAAATTAAAAGGAAAACACAGTACATTATAAGACTGACAGGTCCCCCCCCCCCACACCCACACCAAGTTTACTGCACCTTGTAATAGTGGGATCACCTGATGAATTTCCACCCTAGTTTATATTTCACTTAAAGATTAACCACTCAAATGCTAACCTAACCTAACCTCATCCCCACAAATATCATTAAGGTGGTTAATCTTTAGGTGTAATAAGTTGGGGTGGAGATTCTTCTTGGGATATGTGCAAACCAATACCAGTACTGTGCTGTGCAGTGTCCCTGTAACTAATGGAAGTTTTTCCTCTCTATCTCAAAGATTATTCCATATTTTTTTTTTAGTTCCTTTAATGTGAATTTCCATTACTCAAGCTTCTGTACCTTGAGGGATGCCTGTACAGTATTTCACTAACTCACTTTTAATTGTGACAGAGGAAGGCAAGGTCGGGGAGGTAGACTGAGTGGACCGACCAACAAAGATGCATAAGAGAAACTGTCAAAAGTTCACCCACTTCCTTCACTCATCCTGCAGTGGCCCAAGATAAACTCATCTCTTATCAAGGTAAAACATATAGCATGCCACGTTCAGTATGTTCACCTGTGTGTTGTTACATGTTTTCCAGAAGGTTGGTTCATGCAGTCCCTCTTCTTTAACATATTTATTAGACATCTCTACTTTCTCCTCTATATTTACACCTATCTTACACACACCTGTACACTTCCCTGTATCCAGTACCTTTTAAAACAAATTCTTCATTTGATATTACCCTTTAAAAGCCTAATAACAACTCACACATCCTTAATATAGCTAAAGGTGCCTCCCGAAAGTTGGGAATGCTGTACAGATGCCATAGCTACTTCACTCCTGAGCAGTTGCTCCAAGTATATAAGGGATTCATTTGTCCTAACTTTGAGTACTGCTCTCACATCTGGGGTGGCTCTTCTTCTGTCCAACTATTAGATAGGGTGGAATCAAAGGCATTTCGTCTGATTAACTCTCCTCCTTTAGTCGACAATCTCTCTTCCCTTTCTCTTCGCTGCAATGTTGCTTCACTCTCTCTCTTTTACAGGCAACGTTCGGTGGATTTGGCATCCTGTGTACCGCCATCAAGGCCGTGGGCTCGTAACACACGTCTTTCCCGCGGTGCCCACCGTTTCTCTGTGGATCTTGGTCACACAAGAATAACCCATTATAGTACCTCCTTCTTTCCTCACACAGCTAAACTGTGGAATGCTCTGCCTTCTTCTGTGTTTCCATACTTATACAATCTGTATCACTTTAAAAAGCTGATTTTCCGGCTTCTTCGTGGTGTAGATTAACACAGTATGACCTTTTTCTTCTCTATTTTCAATTTCTTTCTGTTCTTATTTTTTTCGCCCCCCAGGCCCCGTTGTGGGTCGTTTGACCTGTGCCTGGGTGGGCTAATTCTCGTAAAAAAAAAAACACTCCAGGACACTTACTTTCCTATATTATTGCTGGAGCCTTGGTGGGTGGAGAAAGAGGCACTGTGTCTGACATGCTTAACATTAAAGTAGAAATATGTACAGTACTGTACAATATTACACCAAACTTAATAACACTAAAGTTAAATTCACTGTACTGTACTGTGGTAACTATATAATCACTACAATCAGTGCTAGATGGAGGGCTGTATTAAGACAGGCTGAAGCCCTAAGCCCTAAGGGTGTATTGCATTCTAACATAAAGGTCAATATTTTTTTTATTTATAAAACTACAGTATATATTTACATATACTGTACAGTATACATAGGCAAAGATGCAATGAACAACTTATAATCTAAATATCATATACATCGTAGTTCATTCTTAATTCTTTTCAGCTTCAGAATTTATCTTTCTCCTGAGCAGTTGTTACCATTAGACTGAAAAGTTGCCACAATATTGCTTCAACATTAGGGAAAGCCAAATGAATCTTATCTTAGAAGATGACTTGATAAGAGGTCCTAGTGGCATAAATATCCTTTATTAGAATAATTTTTCTTGGTATAAACATGAAAGTGCTTTACTTCCCGAACAAGGTTAACATCAATATCATCAAGATAGTCTTTCATCACAAATTTTACACTGTCACACAACTTCTCTTCTTCTAAACAACTAAAAATTTCAATATTTTTTTCAACATTATTGTACTGTATATGACTGTCTTTTTTTTCACACTGATTTCAAGGGCATCCATCATGGGATTAAAGGATTTTACTCAAAATTTATCTCTTGGAGAAAGCCTGTCATCATCATTTGCTGCATCACCATCACTGACTTGTTTGTTCTCACTCTCTTTTATTCACACACTTGTAGTCTACATCATGCAGGACTCTTTTTGCTTTGAGTCCAATTTCATCAAAACATTCTAGGATTTATTTCAAGAAGTTAGTAAGCAATGTGTAAAGCTTTGTACATGTGCTAAGGCCAATCTGTGGATCCTGTAGTGTAGGGTCTTGTTGGTTTGTGGAAATAATCTAACCAATGAACATGAACACACATTCCAGTTCCTCAGTTTTCTCAAGAAGACTATCAGCTTTCTTCTTGTTTTACCCTCTTCACTGTCATTAGTACATTGGTATGGACATGAGTAAAGCATCATTACAGTACATGATTGAATTACTGTATAACCACCTATGGGCCTATGGCTGAAGTAGCCTTTGGATGTGCTTCCCACCTAGTTTAGTGTCAGAAGATGTTTTGGTACTGTAGAGTCAGGATTCAAGAGTAATTTGAGTACTGCCCAGGGTTTTGTAGAGGCTGAGAAGAAAGTATATATTTGTTACACAACATCAACAAAATTTACTGCATCTAGGCAGCAATCAACTGCCACATAGCTAACATGAGTCAGTGAATGTGTGAATTGAAAAATTAATTAATACGTTTTCCATATGATACTTTAAAATATGAAACATTATTAGACTGAATTTTCTGACCTGCAAATGAAATAAGTTATTTAAGCCAGGGCAATTTGATTCATAACAAATCTTTTTATTTACTGTATCTCAAACATATTTAGAGGGCCCTCATAATGTGAGGCACTAAGCTGTAGCTTATTTACCTTGTGCCTAAATCCAGCACTGGCTGGATGCCGTCACATTATCTGGCAGTTGGTGAGAGACTGGTGTTGCGCCATGCGGCCAATTACAACTCGGCATGTGCACCGGTAATTCAGGCCGAGTCCGACTTTGGGGAGTTTTACTACAATGTGGGAATGAACCCATCTCAACTGTAAACTCAGTGAAATACCTTGGACTAACTCTTGACTTTCTTCATCTGGAGAATAAATTGTAGATAATATAATAAGTAAAACTAATGTTACGATAAACAATTTGTTTATAGAAATGCCATATGTATCAGCTGATGCCCATAGCAACCTTTGCTTGGCACTCATACAAAGTCACTTAGACTATTCCTGATCATCATTACACTCTGCCTTAACACAGAAGCTAAAAGCCAAATAAAAAATTATTTAAAGCAAAGCAGCGAGGTTTACTCTTGACATGAATGCAAGAGATCACATTGGTCTCAGTATTCTTACAATCACTGAAAATGTTAAATGTGACAGATAGAGTGAAGCAACTGAGTCTGAATCGCTCTTAAAGGATATTCAACAGACTGTGGCCAGACTATTTAACACCAAATTTTGTAAGGATTAGGGATATGAACCGGCAGAGCACTAGAGGGAGGGAACACAATTTTGTGGTATACGGTACTGTACTGTACCTGGTGTTTACCGTCAAGCAAAAAACACTTTCTTCTTCACAGCTATAAAAGACTGAAACAAGTTACCAAACTACATCAAAACCAGTAATAGTGTAAAACAATTCATAGCTAAAAGTAAAAATTACATAACAGATGAAGCTGTTTCTGTATTAACCACAAAATATTATACAGTATTGTTGAAGTGATCTGCCAACCTCAGTTAGTCCAAGTGCAATGTAATGATTGTTAAATTTATCAGAAAACTTTCATTATTTCTCCTGTAGACATAGTATTACTGATTAGAGACCGAACCTAAGCAAAGGACCCTACTGTAAATAAGTATCTGATGCCTTTGCCAATTAATAAGTCTCTGAACCTATCTACTTATCATTAAATCTATATAACTATTTATATCATCTAACCTTACAGAAGTGAAGAACAAGGGACAGACTGATGACAGAGGCTACATCACCACCACCACCACCACCGACACCAGATGACAAACGGCTACATCACCACCACCACCACCACCAGATGACTGAGGCTACATCACCACCAGATGACAAACGGCTACATCACCACCAAGACCAGATGACAAACGGCTACATCACCACCAAGACCAGATGACAAACGGCTACATCACCACCAAGACCAGATGACAAACGGCTACATCACCACTGACACCAGATGACAAACGGCTACATCACCACCAAGACCAGATGACAGAAGGCTACATCACCACCAACACTAGATGGCAGAAGGCTACATCACCACCGACACCAGATGACAGAAGGCTACATCACCACCGACACCAGATGACAGAAGGCTACATCACCACCGACACCAGATGACAGGCTACATCACCACCAACACCAGATGACAGAAGGCTACATTACTACCAACACCAGATGACAGAAGGCTACATCACCACCAACACCAGATGACAGAAGGCTACATCACCACCGACACCAGATGACAGAAGGCTACATTACCACCAACACCAGATGACAGAAGGCTACATCACCACCACATACTACAGTAACACCAGCTCTTAGACCACATATTACAGTAGCACCAGCTCTGTAGACCACATACTATAGTAGCACCAGCTCTGTAGACCACATACTACAGTGGCACCAGCTCTTAAGACCACATATTACAGTAGCACCAGCTCTGTAGACCACATACTATAGTAGCACCAGCTCTGTAGATCACATACTACAGTAGCACCAGCTCTGTAGACCACATACTACAGTGGCACCAGCTCTGTTAGACCACATACTATAGTAGCACCAGCTCTGTAGATCACATACTACAGTAGCACCAGTTCTGTAGACCACATACTACAGTAGCACCAGCTCTGTAGACCACATATTACAGTAGCACCAGCTCTGTAGACCACATATTACAGTAGCACCAGCTCTGTAGATCACATACGACAGTAGCACCAGCTCTGAAGACCACATGTTACAGTAGCAGCAGCTCCGAGATCACATGCTACAGTAGCACCAGCTCTGTAGACCACATATTGCAGTAGCACCAACTCTGTTAGACCACATATTACAGTAGCACCAGCTCTGTAGAAAACATATTATGTAGCACCAGCACTGTTAGACCACATACTATAGAAGCACCAGCTCTGTAGATCACCTACTATAGTAGCACCAGCTCTGTAGACCACATACTACAGTGGCACCAGCTCTGTAGACCACATACTGACAGTAACACCAACTCTGTAGACCACATATTACAGTAGCACCAGCTCTCTTAGACCACATACTATAGTAGCACCAGCTCTGTAGACCACATATTACAGTAGCACCAGCTCTGTTAGACCACATACTATAGAAGCACCAGCTCTGTAGATCACATACTACAGTAACAGCTCTGTAGACCACATATTACAGTAGCACCAGCTCTGTTAGACCACATACTACAGTGGCACCAGCTCTGTAGACCACATACTATAGTAGCACCAGCTCTGTAGACTACATACTATAGAGCACTAGCTCTGTAGACCACATACTACAGTGGCACCAGCTCTGTTAGACCACATACTATAGTAGCACCAGCTCTGTAGATCACATACTACAGTAGCACCAGCTCTGTAGACCACATACAGTAGCACCAGCTCTGTAGACCACATATTACAGAAGCACCAGCTGTGTAGACCACATATTACAGTAGCACCAGCTCGTAGATCACAAACTACAGTAGCACCAGCTCTGAAAACCACATATTACAGTAGCACCAGCTCTGTAGACCACATACTACAGTAGCACCAGCTCTGTAGATCACATACTACAGTAGCACCAGCTCTGTAGACAACATATTTCAGTAGCACCAGCTCTGTTAGACCACATACTATAGAAACACCAGCTCTGTAGATCACATATTACAGTAGCACCAGCTCTGTAGACCACATATTACAGTAGCACCAGTTCTGTTAAACACATACTATAGTAGCACCAGCTCTGTAGACCACATACTATAGTAGCACCAGTTCTGTTAAACCCATACTATAGTAGCACCAGCTCTGTTAGACCACATACTATAGAAACACCAGCTCTGTAGATCACATATTACAGTAGCACCAGCTCTGTAGACCACATATTACAGTAGCACCAGTTCTGTTAAACCACATACTATAGTAGCACCAGCTCTAGACCACATATTAGTAGCACCAGTTCTGTTAAACCACATACTATAGTAGCACCAGCTGTGTGGACCCATACTACAGTTGTACCATAGACCACATACTACAGTAGTATGTATATATATATATATATATATATATATATATATATATATATATATATATATATATATATATATATATATATATATATATATATATATATATATACACACACACTAGCAGACCACGTTGTTCATCGTAGTTTCTAGACTAAATAAGTTTAATTTATCCATTATTTTGTCACTCGGTTGAGTCATTTATTTGATTAGATTTAATTTGTATTTGTCTATTTTTGTACATACTGATATATTTGTTTTATTGTTTGTTTGTTAATATATTCTGAAATTAAAACTACTGCATGTATCTCAATATACCCCATAGTAATGAGGTGATGATTTTGGTGGGATCTATTCCTTGGACCAGTAATACAAAGTTGGTTATCTACTTATCATAGAAAACGGGAAAATTGTATCTAAAATAGAGATATATCTACTTTCCGTTGGTTATCTACTTTCCCGAAGTGAATTTTCTACTTTTCGGGAAAGTGAATTATCGACTTTTGGGGAAAAATACCTAATTTTGCGAATTAGATCATCATAGAAAACGGGAAATTTTATCACAGAAAATGGGATATATCTACTTTCCGGGAAAGTTGGTTTATCTCCCGAAAAAGTGAATGAATTTTCTACTTTTCGGGAAAGTAGATTATCGACTTTTCGGAAAGTAGATTTTTCGAGGGGAAATATTCCCTAATTTTGCGAAGTAGATTATCATAGAAAACGGATTGTATCATAAAAATGGGAAATATCTTTCAGAAAGTTGGTTATCTACTTTAAGTAGATAGATTTTCTACTGTTCGGGAAAGTAGATTATCGACTTTTCGGAAGTAGATTTTCAAATTTTGAAATATTACCTAATTTTGCAGTTGATTATCATAAAACGGAAATTTGTATCAAAAAATGGGAAATATCTACTTTCCGGGAAAGTTGGTTATCTACTTTCGAAAGTAGATAGATTTTCTACTTTTGGGAAAGTAGATTATCGACTCGAAGTGAATTTTCGAATTTTGAAATATTACCTAATTTTGCAAGTGAATTATCTAGAAAGTTGATTATCTACTTTCGAAAGTAGATAGATTCTCTTTTCGGGAAAGTAGATTATCGACTTTTTCGGGAAGTAGATTTCGAATTTGGAAATATTACCTAATTTTGCGAAGTAGATTATCATAGAAACGGGAAATTTGTATCATAAAAAATGGAAATATCTACTTTCCGGGAAAGTTGGTTATCTACTTTCCCGAAAGTAGATAGATTTTCTACTTTTGGGAAGTAGATTATCGACTTTTCGGGGAAGTAGATTTTCAAATTTTGGAAATATTACCTAATTTTGCAAGTTGATTATCATAGAAAACGGGAAATTTGTATCATAAAAATGGGAAATATCTACTTTCCGGGAAAGTTGGTTATCTACTTTCCCGAAAGTAGATAGATTTTCTACTTTTGGGAAAGTAGATTATCGACTTTTCGGGAAGTAGATTTTCGAATTTTGGAAATATTACTAATTTGCGAAGTAGATTATCATAGAAACGGGAAATTTGTATCATAAAAATGGGAAATATCTACTGGGAAAGTTGGTTATCTACTTTCCCGAAAAGTAGATAGATTTTCTACTTTGAAAGTAGATTATCGACTTTTTCGGGAAGTAGATTTTCGAATTTTGGAAATATTACTAATTTTTCGAAGTAGATTATCATAAAACGGAAATTTGTATCAAAAAATGGGAAATATCTACTTTCCGGGAAAGTTGATTTATCTTTTATCACTTTTCGAAAAATTAGATAATTTTCTACTTTCCGGGAAAGTAGATTATCGACTTTTCGGGAAGTGAATTTTTCGAATTTAAGGGAAATATTACCTAATTTTGCGATAGATTATCACAGAAACAGGAAATTTGTATCATAAAATGAAATATCTACTTTCCGGGAAAGTTGGTTATCTACTTTCCCCGAAAAAGTGAATAGATTTTCTACTTTTCAGGAAAGTAGATTATCGACTTTTCGAGTAATTTTCGAATTTACGGAAATATTCCTAATTTTGCGAAGTAGATTATCATAGAAAACAGGGAAATTTGTATCGCAAATGGAAATATCTGCTTTCGGGAAAGTTGGTTATCTACTTTCCCAGTAGATAAATTTTCTACCGGGAAAAGTAGATTATCGACTTTTTCGAAGTAGATTTTCGAATTTTGAAATATTACTAATTTTGCGAAGTAGATTATCATAGAAACGGGAAATTTATATCATAAAAATGATATCCACTTTCCGGGAAAGTTGGTTATCTACTTTCCCGGCAAACTCGACACTACTACTTTTCAGGAAAGTAGATTATCGACTTTTTCGAGAGTAGATTTTTCCGAATTTTGGAAATATTACCTAATTTTGCAGTAGATTATCATAGAAAACGAAAATTTGTATCATAAAAATGGGAAATATACACTTTCCGGGAAAGTTGGTTATCTACTTTCGAAAACTAGATAGAACACTACTACTTTTCGGGGAGAAAGTAGATTATCGACTTTCGGGAGTAGATTTTCGAATTTTTGGGAAATATTTACCTAATTTTGCGAAGTAGATTATCTGAAAGAAGCAAGGAGAAATTTGTATCATAAAATGGGGAAATATCACTACTTTCGGGAAAGTTGGTTATCTACTTTCCCCGAAAAATAGACTCATTTCTACTTTCAAAGGAAAATGATTATCGACACGGGGAAGTAGATTTTCGAATTTTTGAAATATTCC